TAAACTCATAATTAAGTTAAATAAATAAATATATTTTATTATTATTATTAAATTTTTTTTTTCCCTAGATGTTACAAGTCAATTCAGACTTTTTAAACTCCATTCAAATTTGGATGTATTCAATCACGACTTTAAGGGCATGTTTACGTATCAGTAATGGAGAAAGTAAGGAATCGGAGAATTTAGGAATCAAAGAACTACTGAATCGGTATGAGAATAATCATTCCCATTAAGCTGTTTACTAAACATATGGAATTAGCAAAGGAATGGGGTTGATTCCTATTGTTATTGTTTACTAATTTTCATGAATCAGAATCCAAATTAATTTGATTACTAAAATGCCCTGCACATTTTCACCATAGCACATATATAATTCTCGAATAGGCTAAGGAGACCAAACTAATCTTGCAGCAAACTAGTAACAGCAAACCAGTAAGGTGGTGCAAACATGAAGAATCAATATGCTGAACAAGATGAACAACAAGAGCCCAGTTCAATGATAATGTTAATAACACTTTTGTCCAGAGCCAATTTCAAACGAAAAAATAAACTCCAACAAATATATATATATCTTTCACCTACGTAACTAGTAAACAATCAAATAATAATAACCTGCATAATCTTCATACATTAAATACATGGAACTTCTTGGAAATGAGTTTTTTATTTATTTTTATTTTTATTTTATTAATTTTTTTTAAGGGTTGGAGCGTCTTGGAACTTCTTGGCGTGAGTTTTTATTTTTTTTAGGGTTTGGGGGGTTTTGGAATTATGGTAAAGTGGTAATGGTATTTTTGGAAGTTACTAAGAGAAAACAGGAATGAGAATCGTATCGACTACTCCCCCCTAGTTGATTTGATACCTAGTTCTGAGGGGATGTGGTTATGGATTTTGAGGTAGGGCCCACTTATTTTTTCATTCCTGATTGCAAGTAAACGCAGGGAAAGTTAGGAATGTAAATCATTCCCTTTCCCCCCATACCCATTACTGATACGTAAATGTGCCCTAAAAGACTTCATAAAAGTTTGGGTGTATTAAAAAACTCATTGATTTTAAAGGAAATACAAAAGAGTGGTGGATTTCGTTTGATTATAGACTAATTTTAGGCCATGATAAATCTTTGTTTTCCCTGAGAGATTTTGATAGATAAATTATTTTTATTCTCAAGATATGATTTCACCACTTCTACTACCACCATTTTGTCATGGCTATCACCACTGCAGCCACCACCAGCATAGTCATCGTCCTCGTTGCCACCACCACCCTTCATTGCCGCGATCCCCTAGCACCACCACTACCACCACCACCACCGCAACCACCACCACCGCCACCTCCACCACCACCCACTGCCAATGTCCCCACTACTAGCGCCACCATCACCCCTACTGCCACCATCACCGCCACCACCTCCACCACAACTGCCACCACCCTTACCCCCATCGCCACCACTACTACCACCCCCACTATCACCCTCACCATCATCACAACCACAGCCACTGCCAGCATCATCATCACCATCACCGCCACCGTCACTACCACCTCCACCACTTCATTATCACCACCACCACCACTACCTCCCCCACCATCATCCACAAACCACCATTGCTACCGACATCGCCATCACCACCACCACCATCACCATCATCACCCCTAAACCCATTGGTTTTTGACTGCTATAAACTCAATTGAATTCAATTAAACTCTATCAACTTTATAACTCTTTTAAAATCATTTAAAATCTAAATTGAATACACCCTCCTAAGTATGCAAAAGATGAGTTTTCCACCAACGCTAGCTACAGACTTGTTCAAGCACATTTGAAAATTATTATCACTTCTTCATGTTCTTCTTTCCTCTAAAATTGAACTTACCTTTTGAAATCATTTTTAAATTTTTTTTTGTAATCTCCTAAAATTTTATATGGAATAAGTGCTATTATTAATTTTGACATGCATCTACATGTAGAATGAATTCATTTTGTTACGGCAAAACGTCATTTTGGTCCTTATAGTTTACCACTTTTATCATTAAGGTTCCTATAGTTTCAATTCTAAACAATACAAGGAGAATCCCTAATTTTTTGTCAAATTACTCTAACATGGAGGGGCATCTCTCTCTCTCTCTCTCTCTCTCTCTCTCTCTCTCTCTCTCTCTCTCTCTCTCTCTCTCTCATCCTCCCTCCCTCCCTTGCTCTCCAATAAGATTATGGGTTATGGGTTTTGAGGGTGTGAGGCGATGAGGAGGGGTCTGTTGCCTAGAAGGGGGGGGTGAATGGGAGAGGGAGAAAGAGAGGGGGAAAACAGAAGGGAGGAGGGGTTTGAGGGGGAATGAGGGAGAAGAAATCGGAGGGAGGTTCTGTTGGGGAATTGGGTCTCATGATTTTTTTTCTTTCTATTTTTTCTAACTTTGTCTATATTTTAACCCTATTTTTATTTGTTAATTATTAAAAGTCATATTTATCCTATAATTTGGTTAAATCTAACAGAAAATTAGAGGGTTGGACCAATTTGCCTCATAATATAAAGTTGATGGACCATTTGAACGAATAATTTAATTGAGGGACCAAAATGTAAATGGAGTATAAGTTTGAGGACCATTTGAGTAAATAACCCATATGAAATAATTAATAAAAATGGAATGTTTTAAAACAAAATTTCCTTCGTTTTAATTTGCCCTCTTTACATATACTTTAATGATCAAATAGAATTGTGTTTTTGTTTTTGAAACCGCTAAACTAAATGAAACCTTATATATTGGCATTTTCTTATCGGTTATCATCATTTACTATACCTTATTTCATCTCACACATTAATATAGCTTTAAATATCATATGAGTTTCAAAATAATTTTTATATGTTATTAGACTTATTGAAACGGAAGTTTTAAATGTTTTACAAACAGTTTGCCACAAAAGCCATTGCGCTGGACATTCAAATAGGACAATCTGATTTTTTTGATAAAAGACAATAGAAATTTATTAGATCAACAGGAGAAACGAGTACAAAGGACAAAGATTGTGAAAGGAGTCATCCCATTAGCAGTACGACCAGCTTAGTCGGTTCGGCCGGATTAATACCCACCCCTGAGGAAAATGTAGTAAACATGAATTTGGGCGGGACATAATCACACTTAAAGATAATTACCTTTTGTAAATTTCTTGTATGGGGTATGTAATTGTTTGGTTTCATTCAACACCAAAACTAGCAAACTCATCCAAGACATTCATTCATATAACACCAAAACTTAACCATGATATTAGAGAATAACATATAGAGCGTGCATGTACTTCGTTGAGCAGCCTCTCTATTAAAAAAAAAAGAAAAAAAAAAGACTCACTCTAAAAACCAAACATTGCTATATATAAAGATCGATTTTGGCCAATTGCTTTTTATTTGATAATAATATTCAAATTATTCCATCGGGCATAATATCGAGCAATTTATTTGCTCTTACAAATCACTAACAGTTGAACATGCAATAACAAGCATAATCAGTTTGAGCAACATTGGCAATGCATGTATGTCCAGCATCATGGTGTTTGTCCCAGCACTTCTTCCCTCAGTCTAATAAAGTACACCCGCTTGGATACAACTACTCATCACATCTCTTTTGTGCATAAGCTTGAGGCACGTTTTAGTTGTTCAAGGCAACTGCAAAATCATCAAATATATATAAGTGAACAAATTTATTTTCTTTCCCGCAGAGTATATCTAAAGCAATTCTATTCAATTTACAAGGCATCATAGAATAGAATGATTTTATGTTTTTTGTGTGTTTTCAATCTCCCTCTTCCTGGTTGACGAACAATGAGGTATATATTAAAGTGTTATGCAAAGGCAATTAAAAGATAGTTTGCATGATTTTTATGACTCAAGCCACGCTTAAGCGGCAAAAATTTGGTGGGTTAAGTAGGAAGGACTTGCTGCTGATAGGGCATAGTTCAATGAAAAAGAGCATTGATTTGCATATCTGTGGTCTCATATTCGAATCTCCATGGCACCTTGAAAGTGTGTAGGTGTGTGATAAAACCCCCCTCCCCCTTGATGAGAGGTGAAAAGTGAGAGTTCCTTGAACTCTTGTGATGGATGCGAATAAGGATAAGTGGTGTATCACTAGAGTTTTAATTAAGTTGCTACATGTTACACTTAAAACAAAGAGGTAAAATTTATGTGTTGTATTGTGAATCAAGAAGCTGTAATGTTATAACCCAAAAGAAAAAAAAAACAAATGGAAAGCACTAAAAAACTGACAAAGGATAAGCCAACAAACCTGAGAAAACAAGAACTAGAAGGAAGAAACAGAAGAAAGAAAACCTAGACATCTCTAGCAACTATGTGTGTAAGTGTAACAAATGTGTATATTTCTGATTTGTGGAATGTTGGGGAAGAAGACTCCGTGGAGAAAAATTATATAGGGAGGGTAGGGATAAGCGGGTAACAAAACAACAAGGAAAGCTTTTAAACATGTTTTCCTTTTTTTTTTCTTCTCTTTTTTAATGTAGTCAGATCTTGCAAATAAAAACAAATTCATCTTACAGTAGATTTTTCTCTTTCCATCTTCAATTGATAAAGAGCAAATTGAAAACAAAAAAAAAATTTACCAAACGAGTAATTCAAATATAATACTATTTCAAATATTTCCTTATAGTAGGTGATGTAGCATATGTTAACGTGAGTTAATCTACTAAATTAAGGAGATTTATTTTCCAAGTTAATTAGGTGATTTACTCTCTTGTTTTATACAGTTGACACACAATTGTATAATTAGGAGATATTTACTGTGTCTATTTCCTCGTAAAGCACCATTGTAAACTCCTATACAAACCTTCTTATAGAGCAATCAATCATATGTTGTCTCTAAGGCCTCAAATCATACCATCAAATTCAAACACAAACCTAAATCAAATTCCTCAAATCCAAATCCTAAACTCTCAAATCAAATCGTCTTATCAAACTCCCTCAACACATATCTTTATCTTACCCTCAAATTGTTCCGTTGCAATGCGCAATGTCTCTCTTCCGCGCAACGAAGGATCTTCTACCTCCACTTCTCAAATCGTTACTATTAAAAGTGACAACTCCCTGTTCCCAGCCGGCATCACCCTGATTGAGACCAATTATGCCTTATGGTCTCAAGTGATGGAGAAGCCTATTGCTACTCGCGAAAAATTGGGTTACCTAACTAGTGACACTCCAAAGCCTCTTGAGCTCTCGTTCACCTACAACAAATGGTGTACCGAGAAATTTTGGGTCAAGATGTGGTTAATCGACTCCACGCCCCCCGACTTGATGAGCCTTTTCACTTGGTTAAGTACTGCCAAAGAAATCTGGGTTGCTGTCAAGAAGACCTACTATGATGGTGGTGATGAAACTTACCTTTTTCATCTCAACAAACGGGTGTTCATTATTAAACAGAACGGTGCACCTATTCATAAATACTACAGCCAACTGCAGGGCATCTTTCAAGAAATTGACCATCGGAGACCCATCCACAAGCACTGCGCCGCCGACGTGACTGAGCATCGGACAAAACTGGATCGTCTTCGACAGTGAAGCCAAAGTTGGTCAAGCTTACAAGATTGGGGGAGCTAGTGTTGAGAAACAAATTGACGAAGTATGGCTGTGGCATAAGCGTCTTGGACATGCTTTGTTTGGATATTTATAGAAGTTATTTCCATCCTTATTCACCAATTTAGATATTTCAAGTTTGAAGTGTGACATTTGAGAACTGGCCAAGAGCCATTCCTTTTCTCTTAAGTTCAAACAAAAGATTGGTTTTGTTTTCTCTTGTTCATTCTAATGTTTGGGGATCTGCTAAAATTGTCACTCTGGTGGGAGCACGATGATTTGTCACATTTATAGATGATTGCACACGCATGACTTGGGTTTCCCAAATACCACTTCAAACATTTTACCACCATATCCAAATACCTCCCACCCCCAAACTTGCACCACGGTTTTTCGGTTGTGTCGTATTTGTACATTTACATGATCACCAACGAAGCAAATTAGATTCCCGAGCAAAAAAGTGTGTTTTCATTGGCTATGTTCCTCATCAGAAAAGTTACCGATGTTATCACCCTCGAAGTTAGAAGGTATATACTTTCATGGATGTTGTGTTCCGGGCACACAACATATATTTTTTAGCAGCACATGAGGAGAATCTAGAATCAAACACTCCATGCTACCAAAATCAGGAGGAGAAAATTTAACTATTTTATGAGATTTTGCCTTCTCCAGCACCTTCAGCTCTAGTACCACACCAATCACCTATGGGGGAAGTCATTCAGGTAACATCTCCCCTAAAACTGATAGCACTAAAACATAGATTGCTCGTCACTAACTCTCCACACCAGACCTTGCTCAATGACTTGTCAACCCCAAACTATAGCTCGCCAAACTAGGGAAGGGCAATTCCTCACCTCTGTGCGTAAGAAATCCACAGCAGGAAAATATCTTGCCTTCATAATACGATTGACTAAGGAGTCGGGATTCTCCAAGAGTCTCCATGCTTGCTTCGCCACCATGACTTTATTAAAAGCTTCAAAAATTTTGAATCCAAGCCCCACAAAACATTTGGGCTTACAAAGCTTCCGCCAATTCATCCAATGAATACTGCAATAACACGTTATTATTCTAGGAATGTGGCTTTAGTGATTATGGGATGTGTAATTCTGCAATATTCACTAATGATCAAATTAGTTCCATAATATTTGCAACATGAAGGTTAAAAATATGTTTTCTAAATAAATACAACTTAAAAATTAGGGAGTTTCACTAAAACACCCAAAATAGGGGTTGAAATTATAAAAAAACCCAACACCCAAAACACTTTATAAACACACCCAAAACTCATCATTACACACACTCAAAACCCATTTATAAACACACCCAAAAAATATACAATTGTTGATTTTGGGTGTGTTTCTATGTTTAAATAGTGCTTGGGTTTTTTTTATAAATACATGTCTAGGATTGGGTTTATTTATAAATTTGTATAAAAATTATTAGGTTGATTAATGAGTTGTTAGTTGGATTGGCACATATACTTTTCGTGTACTTCCAAATAGTCTTGAATTCAATTTCCTATGATACCCTTCTCCTCTTCTTAACTTGGACCAAAAAAAAATTATATTTAGACTGATTAGTAGGCATTTGTCCTAAATCTCTTTGGTCGGTCTTGGCAACACAAAATGACATAAAGCCCACGACAGTCATAATTTAAAAGCCACTACAATGATAAAGCTTACTATAGGCATAAAGTCTTGAAAGGCAAAAAGTCTACAACAAAACAACACGTCCATGAAGTGTTTATCAATTTAGTCTGTCACCAATTACCAATTATCATAGTGGCTAGTGGGATTGGAGCGTCGAGTGTGTATGTGCGAGTGCAAGAGTCCTTTTACCAAATCTTTTTTTTTTTTTTTTTTTGTGAAACCATTTTTAAACCTAAGGGGGTATTTATGTAATTTCCAAAACGTTAGAGGATATTGCAAAAACACGAAAAACCTCAAGAGGTGTTAGTATAAATAACTCAAATTCGAGACAATCAGTCAAAGGACTACAAACGAATGAGTTTCATAATTATGCGTATGTTGACACTCATCAAAGGACTAAAAATCAATGTTTAATTTTACAAGGGGGTTGAATGGAATTTTAATCTTATACAAGGACTAAAATTGAAATGACTGAATTTACACAAATTTGGAATTGAAATTTTGTATGTACACAAATTTGGAATCCCTAGTATTATTGTACATACATAAAATTCACATTATTGAATTAAATACAAATATTGAATGACGAATATGATTTGAAGTTTTCAATACTTCTTAAGGAAACTTTTGAACCAGTGCGCCGAGAGTTTTGGGTGCCTTTTAAGCCCATCGTTGTAATCTACATAGGTGATACCAAATCGAACACTGAATCCCGAACTCCATTCAAAGTCGTCTAGCAACGTCCATGGAAAGAATCCCTTCACTTTGACACCATTGCTAAAAGCAATAAAAGGAAATTAAATCTATTAATGTCAATAATATGAATCAATAACTCAAAATCTAAAGCTATACCATATACATATATATTTAAATATTATAAATGAATTTGTTAATACACTTACTCAATAGAACTTTGAACATAATGAAGGTGGCGATTGTAGTAGTCAATTCTATGGGTATCATTAAGGGCTTCAGCAAGTGATAATTTCGGATCATTCAACTCATCCACACCTACAATATATAACACATTATTTTGTAGTTACAAATTTAGACTTTGTACCACTTGTGCATGTTTTACACCAAAAATATGAGAAACATTGATCATGGAATTACTTAAGGCTAGAAAAATTACCATTTTCGGTAATGTAAATAATTGGATTGTGATACTTTTTCTTTGTGTAGAGTAAAAGATGTTGAATTCCTTGTGGATAAACATTTAACCATTCCGAAGCACCCTGCACCAAAATTTGAAGATCTTTAGATTTTTAGGTGTCACATTTGTAAGTGAAAAATGATTAATGATCGAAATCATAAAGGCTTAATCTACTTAATTTGATGTGTACCTTTGGACCGATGGGGACCCCATTACGCTCAGCTGCCACAACACATATGAATATTAGAATCTAATTAGTCTATAAACTTAAATTGCTTGAATTAAGTTCTGAATTTGTACTCACATGAAAGATTAACGCCAGCATCTGTTGTGTAGCTAGCATATACCGAGTTATTTTGAGGTGCATCACTTGCATAGTAACCCGTATAGTAATTTAGTCCAAGAAAATCAAATGAACCAATTAGCAACTTGGATTGTTCTTTCGTGAATTTTGGTAATCGACTTCCGACGAGAGATCGCATGCTTTGTGGATAGTCCCCACTTGTCAATGGCTCAGCAAACCTAAAAGAATGTAAAAAGTTCAAGGATTAACTTGACATTATATTATGTATTGCTCGTTAGTAAGTAGCAAATACTATATTCATAAGCAAATTCGAAATACACTTGCCATCCGAACATAAAATCCAAAGCTCGTAATGCCGCATTTTTATTTTCTTTTTCTTCTGATAGGGGCTCAAACCAATTTGACACTAGTGTTATCCCTATCACTCCATTTTGAGACGCCTGCACAAGAACATTTAGTTTGTTTGTTTTAGAGTCACAAAAAGGTAAATTAGTCGCTCTCTTGTTGCAACAAACTAATTAATTGTACCTGGTATTTATTTTTGTACAATTTTACAGCAGCTGCATGAGCAAGGAGCTGGTGGTGTGTTACCAAATATGGCTCAGTTGATGAATCTCCGCCGGTGCAGTTTAGCTGCTGCCAAGTGGAGCATCGTCCCGGCGCTTGGGACCCGGTTGCATAGCCATAGTTACTAAAGGTATACGGCTCATTCAGTGTAGTCCAATGCTTTACTCGATCACCAAATTCCTTATAACAAAGTTCTACGTAATCTTGAAAATGATTGCTGTATATACACATTTCAGAATGTAAATGTCATAATTGTATTTATTAATTAAATTATCAATACGATTCAAAGGACTAATTTCTTCACTTACACAATATGAGGGCTTAAGAAACCACCATATTCATCTTCTAAAGTTTGGGGAAGATCCCAATGGAAGAGTGTCACAAATGGCGTTAAACCTATAAATAGCATCGTCAATAAAAGCGAGTTATAAGTTTGACAAAATGACTTTTTTTATGAGTGCATGTAACTCTTATTGTATAAATTATTGATCATGTAAGGTGGGATGACTCACCATTGCGTAAGAGCTCATTGATGAGATTGTTGTAATATTTGATTCCTTCCTTGTTCACTCCTCCACTTAACTTTCCATCTAATAATTAAAACAAAACCAGAAAAATTTGTTATATTATTCGATAGACAACTTGGACACATTACTTAAGCGAAAACCATGAAGGCAGAAATATTGACGATTGGTCACAAATGAACTTACTTGGTAACAATCTTGACCATGAGATAGAGAATCGATAAGCATCCAACCCCATATTCTTCATAATCCCCACATCTTCCTACAGTGCATAACAAAAAAGAAATCAGATAAAAATTATCAGGAGCTTATCTTCAATGTGATGAGTTTTCTTCATGCTTCAAAATTTAATATGTGCACATTGGGTCATCAAACCTTATAGCGGTGATATTGATCAACAGTGATATCTCCATTGCTGCTATCGTTAATCTTTTCTGCAATTAATCATAGAAGATTTATTTATTTAGAGCATAAGAATAAAAGTAGCACGATTTTGTTATTTTAACTAATTGATGATTTGATTGGACAAACCTGGATATTTGTGGGTGAAGGTATCCCAAATGCTTGGTCCTCTACCACCTTCTTTTGCCGCACCTTCATACTGAAATACACAAGAGACACAATGAAGAAGATGTACAATATTCTTGCATGGATCCATGCTTGGTCTGACTTTGAAAGAAAACCCTAATCAAAACTCAAATTAAGGCCCAAAAAAGGACTTACTTGGTAAGATCCAGAACCTACACCAAATATGAACCCTTCTGGAAAACTGCTCCTATTGAGAGAAGCAGTGTCAAAATGTGTGGGTGGAGCTCTAATATCAGCTTCGCTATTTGTGAAAGCAAAGCCAATTAGTAGCAGTATGCCTAAGAGAAAAGAACGTAATTGCATTGCCATAACTTGAGGTATTTTTGTTGTTGTTGGTAATAATCTTGATAAGTATAAGTTGGCTCTGGCTGGCATGCTGCATGGCCTTTATATAGAGGAGGAAGTACGTGCTGAGCATGAGAATAGTAAACACACATGGGCATTGAATGGGTTTGAGGGGGCAACTACGTAGAATGTCATGGTACAAAGGGAAATGGCAATTTTCATATTTGAATGAGTTTGTCGTTGTCTCCTCCCAAAACTCAACTGCTAATTCAAACACGCAATATAATGGTGCATATATGTGAGTGGCCGCATAGTGGAGTCTCCTAATAGCCGTTTGGGTCAAACTGTGAAAAGAAATTTGACAGAATTGTTTTCTTCACAATATAATATTTGGTGCACATGTGTGAGTAGCCGCCAAGTCTGATTGAGTCACCAATAGCCGTTCGGGTCAAACTGTGAAAAGAAATTTGACACAGAATTGTTTTCTTCATAATGTAAATTTGTAGATTGTTTTAATTCTTGGGCATAATATGTGATTATCTTTTGCATTTGGCGAACTAGGAAGCGTATAATAGAATTTTACTTTTATTTCTTCTAAACATTAGAGAAACATGTCCAATTGGTGGGGTTTCACAAACGATCTTGAGGTTAGTTGAAATTTGAGCAATGATTGGGGACCATTTCGGTCAAAAATCCTAAATATATATATATAAATAAAATACATTTATGGGTAGATGGTAGATACTTTGTAGGGCCCACTTCGCCTTAATTTTTGTGATATAAACGTCTATTTGTAAATTTCATGCATACATGATAGATTGACTAATTTTTAATCAAATAGTTAAAAGTTACATGGTCTAATTTATAAACAAGAAGCTATTATCTTTAAGGTGCGAAAAAGAGATTATGCATCTATTATCTCTGAAACCGTCAAAAGAGTATTAAAAGAGAAAAAGAAAACAAGAAAATGTTGTGAGGACGTTATATCCACTGAAAGAAAAATAACGTAATTGCCAAACTCATCCTTACATTTTTATGGTCAAAGTAATGACATTGGCTTCCAATGTTCCACCTACAATTCTCATAGCAATTTTCTTTCTGTTTACCCTAAAGATAAACATGCAGAAATGTGTTTTTGTTTACCCTTCTTTCCTTTGGTTTTAATGGTATTTTTGTTCCCATAATAATGGTCCGTCAAATTCTTTTGACCACACTATTCGTGTTTGACTAAATCAGAATTTGCAGCTACTCACACTATTCGTGTTTGACTATTCATCCAAATATGAAACTTTCCATTTGTACCATGACATTCTACAGAGTTCCGCCCTCAACACCCTTCTAATGGCATGCACGTGTTTTGCAAAGAAATTTATTTCACCATGCCAACCAGAGTCAATTTATACTTTTCAAGATTACCAACAAAAAACATCTTTGCTTGTTTTCGTATTTTCTGATGTCGGATTCATAATTACATCTAATTATAACAAGGAAGGAATTAAATATCAATGAGCTGATTCCCAACGGTGACTCATCCCACTTTACATGATTAATCATCTATACAATAACATTTACATGCAATCATAAATAATTATTTAAACAAAACTTTAATATGCTTTTATTGATCATGTTATTTATAGGTTTAATATCATCTGCGACACTCTTTCATTGGGATCTTTTCCAAACGTTAGAAGGTACATTTATGGACATGAAAAAACATACGATATTTAGGTCCTTATATTTCACATGATTCAAGAAAAAACATCTTTATCACAGGTTGAATAATAATTAATTAGAGAACATAGCATAGCTCACCACATTTAACTCTTGAGATTCGTGTTCATGTAGCAAGTAAATTAAACTGATTCAACGATAATTACTGTGATAATTATACTTAATATCAATTCAGGGTGGTGGGCAAAAATGTTTTGAAATATTATATGAGATTTCCCTTCATGTCCTAATTTAAGGTACATCAATCATCTGTTGAAAAAGTCATATTTACCCTAAATTTGGTTAAATCTAACAGAAAATTAGATGGTAGGACAAATTTGCCTAATAATATAGAGTTGATGGAACATTTGAACGAATAATTTAATTGAGGGGACCAAAATGTCAAATTGAGTATAAGTTTGAGGACCACTTGAGTAAATAACCCATATGAAATAATTAATAAAAATGGAAAGTTTTAAAACAAAATTTCCTTCGTTTTAATTTGCCCTCTTTACATATGTGTGAGCATGTGCAAAGGGGGCAAGTATAGTTTCATGATCAAATAGAATTTTGTTTTTGTTTTTGAAACCACTAAACTAAATGAAAACCTTATATATTGGCATTTTCTTATCGGTTATCATCATTTACTATACCTTATTAATCTCACACATTAATATAGCTTTAAATATCATATGAGTTTCAAAATAATTTTTATATGTTATTAGACCTACTGAAACAGAAGTTTTAAATGTTTTATAAACAGATTGCCACAAAAGCCTTTGCGGGCATTCAAATACGACAATCTGATTTTTTGATAAAAGACAATAGAAAATTTATTAGATCAATGGGAAAAAAACAAGTACAAAGGACAAAGATTGTGAAAGGAATCATCCCATTAGCAATACAACGAGTTTAGTCAGTTCGGCCATTTTAATGCCCATCCCTAAGAAAAATGTAGTAAACATGAATTTGGGCAAGACACAATCACCGGAAAATAATTACGGCCTTTTGTAAATTTCTTGTATGGGGTATGTAATTGTTTGGTTTCATTCAACACAAAAACTAGCAAACTCATCAAGGCATTCATTCATATAACACCAAAACTTAACTACGATATTAGAGAATAACATATAGAGTGTGCATGTACATTGTTGAGCAGCCTCTCAATAAATAAATAAAGACTCACTCTAAAACCAAACATTGCTATATATAAAGATCGATTTTGGCCAATTGCTTTTTATTTGATAAAAATTTTCAAAATATTCAATCGGGCTTAATATCCAGCAATTTATTTGCTCTTTTTTCATCTCAAGACGATCAAACGTCGAACAAATCACTAACAGTTGAACATGCAATAGCAAGCATAATCAATTTGAGCAACATTGGCAACGCATGTATGTCCAGCATCATGGTGTTTGTCCCAGCACTTCTTCCCGCAGTCTAATAAAGTACACCCGCTTGAATACAGCTGCTCTTCGCATCTCTTTTGTGCATAAGCTTGAGGCACGTTTTGGTTGTTCAAGGCAACTGCAAAATCATCAAATTTATAAAAGTGAACAATTTTGTTTCCTTTCCCGCAGAGTATATCTAAAGCAATTCTATTCAATTTAGGCATCATAGAATAGAATGATTTTATGTTTTTTTTTTTGTGTTTTCAATCTTCCTCTTCCTGGGTGCCGAACAATGAGGTATATAATAAAGTGTTATATGCAAAGGCAATTAAAAGATAGTTTGCATGCCTTTTATGACTCAAAGCCACGCTTAAGCGGCAAAAATTTGTTGGGTTAAGTAGGAAGGACTTGCTGTCAATGAGGCCTAATCTAGTGAAAAATAGCATCGACTTGCAGATATGTGGTCTCAGGTTCGAATCTCAATGACTTTGACAGTGTGTGTAGATGTGTGAGAAAACCCCCCTCCCCCTTGATGAGAGGTGAAGAGTGAGAATTCCTTGAACTCTTGTGATGGATGCGAATAAGGATACGTGGTGTATCACTAGAGTTTTAATTAAGTCGCTACATGTTTTACTTAAAACAAAGAGGTAAAATTTATGTGTTGCATTGTGAATCAAGAATAAGTAATCCCCCAAAAAAAAAAAAAAAAAAACAAAAAAAAAAAAAAAAAAAAAAACAAACAACAAAAACAAGGGATAAGGCCAGCAAACCTGAGAAAACAAGAACTAAAAGGAAGAAACGGAAGAAAGAAAACCTAGACATCTCTAGGAACTATGTGTGTAACAAATGTGTATATTTCTACTTTGTGGAATGTTGGGGAAGAAGACTCCGTGGAGAAGAAATATATAGGGAGGGTGGGGATAAGCGAGTAACAAAACAAGGAAAGCTTTTAACATGTTTTCCTTTTATTTTTTTTATTTTTAATGTAGTCAGATTTTGCTCTGTTTATATAGTAGTTATATTACATTTTACCTTAACGTTATGTTTGCTAATAAAAACAAATGGGAGATTTTATTGGCACTCCATTAGTTGCTCTTTACACCCCATACTAATTTTAAATATAAATAACCTATTCTATCCTTGTACACAATTACCGTTAAGGACAAATAAATTTAAATTTAAAATTAAAATTGCTCACTACACCCCACACATGTTCCTGCAACCCTAGTTTGAATTTTTTATCAAACTATCATGTTCCTAAACCCTAAACCCTAGATTTATAAGTTTATACTGGTGAAAAAATATCTTGTATTTATTCATGAAGGGTGAGATTGAAGTTACAGAGGCTTCGAATGAGATACGAGTTTATTTTTTGGCGTTTTGCAAGTTTAGTATTTCGTAACGGTCGCTGGTTGCGTTCAGCTCATCAGTATCGAACGCGACAGGTAAATTCGGTGAGATGCCACCGAAATGTTGCACCGTTTTCGGTTGGTTTTGACCGGTCAACAACTTAATATTCGGTGGAGATCCACCGTAAGATGAAACGTAGTTCAATGGTTTACTACCAAAATTTTACCTACATTTCAGTGGCATCCAACCAAAATTTATTTATTTTTGTAGTAACTTATTGCCGACCACAAATTTAATCCAAGCTATTTTGATCTTACTCCCATTGAAGGAACAAAATCAAGGTGACGCCCCTACTGAAGGCAACAATGTGGGAACATAATGTGTAATGGACTATATTGATCAATTCATAACTTATTCGGTAATTATTTGTCTGAAATCCTTTTTAGTATCATTAACGTGGCATTAATGTTTCAAATTTTATATTTAAATAATATGAGTTTTATGTGTAGATATTCAATGGTAGAGATGCATTACTTCGATGGGCTTGTGAACAAGGAAAATTGAATAATATTGTCATTGTAATTAAAAGGTTTGATTATGGAGGTGAGGGCAAGAGGAGACCTCGTGTAATACTTGCTTGTGAGAGGAACGGTAACTATAAGTCTTGCAAGTCTAGTGAGACAACTGATATAAGGTCGGATGCAAATAGTGATATGAAAAAATGTGCTAGGGACACTGGTACCAAGAAATGTGGATGCCCATTCTTGTTAAAAGGTGTCAATATTGGTGATGGGGATGATTGGAAGTTGGAGGTGTTTTGTGGAGTACACAACCATCCTATTTCAGATTATCTTCAAGGTCATTCATTTGTGGGGTGACTTACTGAAGAGGAGAATGCCTTGTTGGTGGACATGTCTAAGAGTTTGGTGAAACCCAGAGATATTTTGGTCACCATTAAAGATAGAGATGCAATGAATGTTTCAACTATGAAGACAATATACAATGCTAGGATCCAAAATAAAACCAAAGAATTTGCTAGGAGAACCCAAATGCAACAATTGCTTACTAAGTTATCCGAACACAATTATATTGAGTGGCATAGGACATCTGGTGATGTTGTAACTGACCTGTTTTGGACACATCCCATTAATATTGATATTTTACACGCATTTCCACATGTACTTATCATGGATTGTACCTATAAGACTAATAGGTATCGTTTCCCACTATTGCAAATTGTGAGGGTGACATATACTAATATGACATTCTCTGTTGCGTATGTGTATATGAATGCCAAGAAGGAAGACAATTACACATGGGCATTGACTGCATTTAGGAGTTTGTTGGATGATAATTGTCTTCTTGGTGTTATGGTCACCGATCGAGAGTTAGCACTCATGAATTTTATTACGTCTATATTTCCGAAAGCACGACATTTATTATGTAGATGGCATATTAACAAAGGAGTGTTGGCACTCATGAATTCTATTACCTCAACATTACAATCCTGAGTAGCAGCTACATCTTCAACCTTTGCGTCAACATTACTATCATGAGTAGGAACTACATCTTCAGCCTCTGTAGTATCCTCAATGTGATCTCGGGGAGCTGCTCTCTGTCTCCTCGTTGAGGTCGTGGGATGTTGTCTATTAGGTCGGGATGATGAAGCTTCAGTAGTACCTCTGTGAATCCTCTTCATATCTAAAAATAAACAATATTAAGTACACACTCAGTAACGTATTCGGTACATAATCCCTGAAAAACGGAAATAAATTCGGTGGACAATCACTGAAAAAAGAACACATATTCGGTGGAGTACCACTGAAAAACCGAAATAAATTCGGTGGGAGTCCCCTGAAAAATAGAAACAGATTCGGTGGACTACCACCGAAACAAGGTAACAATTTCGATGGTAACCCACCAAACTCAGGTTCAAATTCGGTGGACTACCACTGAAGCAATGTAATCATTTCGGTGGTAATCCACCGACACTAGAATCCATTTTCGTAAAACCAGGTTCGAATTACCAACAACGTTGAAATCAAAATCAAAATCAATACCAGACTTTGGCTTTTCAAAAGTGAAATCAAACGTAGGCTTAATCAACACTTAGAAACGTAAATATATAAATAAAATTTGAAATCAAACCTTGAATAAGGATTTGTGAAAACTTGACCTTCAATGGCTTTCGGGTTTGCAGAGATGGAGATGGGTGTGATGGTTCTGTTTCAGAGATAGGTTCGAGTTTGCTGGGTTGTGCAATAGGGTTCGGTGGTGAGCAAAGATCTGCGATGGCAAAGGGATGGGTTCTTCGATGGTTCTGCGATGGAGGTTGTTGTAAATGTGATGGGGTGTGCGATGGGGTGTGTCTGCAAGAGGAGAGAATTTTCGATGGGGTGGGGCTGGATATCAGATGGGGTGGGGTTTGATTTCAAATGGGGTGTGGCTGAAAGGGAATGGGGTTTTCGGTGGGTGGTTAGGGAATGGGGTTCATGAGGGCAATTTAGGGAAAAAAAGGGGTTTAATGAGTAATTTGAAATTTTATTAAAATTTAGTGGGGTGTAAAAAATTATGGGGTGTAAAGAGTAATTTATGGGGTTCATATAGAATTACCCAAAACAAATTCATCTTACCTTGTTCTCAATTTTCTTTTCCATCTTCAATTTATAAACAGCAAATCGAAAACAATTTTTTTTTACCAAATGAGTAATTCAAATATAATACTATTTCAAATTTTTCCTTAGAATAGGTGATGTAGCATATGTTGACGCGAGTTAACCTACTAAATTAAGGATATTTATTTCCTAAGTTAATTAGGTGATTTACTTCCTTATTTCACATATTTGACACATCCTTGTATAATTAGGAGATATTCTCTTAATTAATTACTGTATCTATTTCCTTGTAAAGCACCCTTGTAAACTCCTATATATATACCTCCTTATAAAGAAGAATACAATTAACTTAAAGTGTTCAAACATAATCATATTTTAGCATGGTATCAGAGCAATCGATCCTAGGTTGTCTCTATGCCCTCAAATCATACCCTCAAATCCAAACACAAACCTAAATCAAATTCCTCAAATCCAAATCCTTAACTCTCCAATCAAATCCTCTTATCAAACTCCCTCAACACATATCTTTATCTTACCTTCAAATTGTTCTACTGTAATGGCCGACATCTTGCTTCCGCGCAACATAGGATCTTCTACCTCCACTCCTCAAATAGTTACAATTCAAAGTGAGAACGCCCCGCTCCCTGCCGGCGTCACCCTGACTGAGACCAATTATGCCTTATGGTCTCAAGTCATAGAGATACGCATTGCTGCTCACGAAAAATTAGGTTACCTAACTGGTGACACTCAAAAGCCTCTTGAGCTCTCATCCACTTACAACAAATGGTGTACCGAGAACTTTCGGGTCAAGAGGTGGTTAATCGACTCCACGTCCCCCAACTTGATGAGTCTTTTCATTTGATTAAGTATCGCCAAAGAAATATGGGCCGTTGTCAAGAAGACCTACTATGATGGTGGCGATGAAACTTATCTTTTTTATCTCAACAAATGGTCGTTCACTATTAAACAGAACGGTGCACCCGTTCATAAATACTACAGCCAGCTGCAGGGCATCTTTCAAGAAATTGACCATCGAAGTCCTATCCACATGCACTGTGTCGTCGATGTGACTGAGCGTCAGACAAAACTAGATTGTCTTCGTGTTCACCTTTTTCTTGCCGGTGTTGACCCTAAGTTTGATCAAGTCCGGGGGGAAATCCTACACAAAGATCCCCGAAATTAGACCTTGATCAAACCTTTGCCTATGTTAGTTGCGAAGCTCAACAGAGAATGACCATGATTGGTGCTCAAGAAGATTCTATCATGGTAACTCAATGTCAAAGGGGGCCCTAGAAATCTACCGGTGTGGCTCTTCTCATAATAAGGCCTCCAAATCTAGTCCGGAGAAGAAGTGCACCCACTGTGGATGATTGGTTGTGGTACTGGGAGGGGTGAACTTTACTACATGGACTTGGCGTCTGACAGTGAAGCCAAAGTCAGTCAAACTTTCAAGATTGAGGGAGCTAGTGTTGAGAAACAAACTAACGAAGTATGGTTATGGCATAGGCGTCTTGGACATGCTTCGTTTGGATATTTATAGAAGTTATTTCCATCCTCATTCATTAATTTAGATATTTCAAGTTATTTCCATTCCTTTTCCCTTAAGTTGAAATAAAAGTTTGATTTCGTTTTCTCTTATTCGTTCTGATGTTTGGGGACTTGCTAAAATTGTCACTCTTGCAAGAGCTCGATGATTTGTCACATTTATGAATGATTGCACACGTATGACTTGGGTTCCCAAACACCACTTCAAACATTTCACCACTATATCCAAATACCTCCCACCCCCAAACTTGAACATGAGATTTTCGGTTGTGTCGTATTTGTACATTTACATTATCAAAAACGAAGCAAATTAGATCCCTGAGCAAAAAAGTGTGTTTTCATTGGCTATGCTTCTCATCCGAAAGGCTACTGATGTTATCACCCTCCAAGTCAGAAGGCATGTACTTCCATAGATGTCGTGTTCTGGGAACACGACATATATTTTTCAGCATCACATGAGAGAATCTAGAATTAAACACTCCATGGTACCAAAATGAGAGGAGGAAATTGAATTGTTTTACGAGATTTTGCCCGCTCTAGCACCTTCAGCTCTAGTACCACAATTTGACTAAATTCATTGTGATATTTGGGGACCTCACAAGAACCCAACACAATCTGGGGCACGATATTTTCTTACTATTGTGGATGATTTCACTCGTTTTACTTGGGTGCATCTTATGAATTTCAAATCTGACACAAACAATTTTGAAATCCTTTTTCTCTTGGGTCAAAACACAATTTCAACGTGACATTAAAGCTCTTCGTGCGGTTAATGGTACTGAATTTCTTTCCATGCGTTCTTACCTAGACTCATGTGGCACCTCATTCCAACATTCTTGTCCTTACGCACCACAACAAAACGGGGTGGTTGAACGTAAACATAGGCACCTTTTAAATGTTGGTCGTGCTCTTAGGTTTTAGGCAAACTTACCTTTACAATTTTGGGGGCAAAGTATCCAAACTGCTTGTTATCTCATCAATCGTTTGCCTACACCCTTGCTCTCTCATAAATCTCCATACGAACTTTTGCACAACACACCACCAACTTATACGCACTTACACATTTTTGGATGCCTTAGCTATGCCACCAACCTCACACCCACCAATAAGTTTGACGTCCGTGCTCGCTGTTGTGTTTTCCTTGGTTATCCTCTTGGCCAAAAGAGGTTATAAGGTATATGATCTAGCCACACAAAAATTCTTTTTCTCACGTGATGTCATCTTTCATGAGCATATCTTTCCTTACACTTCCTCACCAACTATAGACCAAAACGACATGCATGTTACTCCCATTATCCATCCAGCACATGGCTCCAATTCCCATGACCACACCACCTGCACTCTTGGCCCACATCAAATGGTGCTTGATTCACCACACACCACAGTCCCTATTTCCCAAACCAACCTTGAGCCTTCATCACCACTAACACCAATTCTTACACCACCTGCCGACACACTACCTGAACCCATCACTTCCAGCACCTCTCTTCCTCAACCATCTGCACCACCCATTTCTCACCAAGCCTCTCTTCGCCACTCTACTCGTCTCACCAAACCACCAGCCCACTTCATAGATTACGTGGCTCATCACTCCACCTTGCTCACGCCCACAGAGGCCCTCTCACGGTCCATGTCCAGCATGCGCCATCCATTGCATCAGTATGTTTCTTATTCCTGCTTATCTCCTGGATATCAGTGTTTTATTTCTTATATCTCCCACTTGGTGGAGCCTACTACCTATGAGCAGGCCTGTTAAAATCCCCAATGGATTGCCGCAATACAAGCCGAACTCACGACCCTGGAAGAAAATAAAACCTGGAGTTTTCTTCCTCTTCTGCTTGGACAATGACCCATTGGCTGCAAATGGGTTTTCAAACTCAAGTACCGATTCGATGGCACTTTTGAACGCTACAAAGCACGTCTCGTTGCCAAAGGTTTCACCCAACGTGAAGGTATCGACTACAAAGACACCTTCGCACCGGTAGCCAAACTCATTACTGTGCATTGCCTATTGACTGTGGCTGCTGTCCGCAATAGGCCCTTACATCAAATGGACATCCAAAACGCATTTATTCATGGAGAACTTCAAGAGGAGGTCTATATGTTGCCTCCCCCGGGTTGTCGTTGACAAGAGGAGAACGTCGTCTGTCGACTCCATAAATCTTTATATGGTCTTAAATAGGCATCCAGAAGTTGGTTTTGAGAGTTCTCTTCGGCAATATGTACCATCGGTTATTGCCAATCTAAGGCAGATTACTCTTTGTTCACTCAAGTCAAGGGTACTTCACTCACCATTATATTGTTGTGTGTTGATGACATGGTGATTACAGGCAACAATGAGGCAGAAATTAAGAACCTAAAGGCTTTCCTTAGCAGTCAATTTCGAATTAAAGATCTCGGGCCTCTGAAGTATTTCCTTGGAGTCGAGGTAGCACAATCAAAAGCTGGAATCACAATTTGCCAACGGAAATATACACTGGACATATTGGAGGAGGCTGGATTACTTAGTGCTAAACCCACGAAGGTTCCAATGGAGGCAGATTTGGTACTAACACCTGCAGGTAGCAGTTCACTTCACAAACCTGCAACGTATAGACGCTTAGTTGGAAAATTGATCTATTTGACCATCACAAGACCAGAAATAGCATATATTGTTAACACGTTGAGTCAGTTCATGCAAGATCCAAAATGATATCATCTTGATGCAGCGTATCGACTTCTTCAATACCTTAAAGGAGCTCCTGGACAAGGTTTGATGTTTTCTTCCCAAAGTGAATTACATTTAATTGGTTACTGTGACGCAGATAGGTCTCGCTGCCCCATTACACGTCGATCAGTGACTGGTTATTGTATATTCCTTGGAAACTCATTGGTGTCCTGGAAAAACAAGAAGCAAGTTACAGTACCTCGTTCATCCGTAGAAGCGGAGTATTGATCTATGGCCGCAGCTACTTGTGAATTAAGTTGGTTGTGATATTTATTTGAAGATTTGCATGTTAAGCATCCCCAATCGGCAAGATTATTCTGTGACAACTAAGCCGCCCTACACATAGCCGCAAATCCTGTGTATCACGAACGTACAAAGCATATTGAGATCAATTGCTACACTGTTCGTGAGAGGATTCAAAAATGAGAAATCAAAATTTCCTATGTCAGAATAGGGGAGCAAGTCGCAGACTTATTTACTAAGCCACAACGTGCACCTATTTTTCATACACATCTAAGCAAGTTGGGCGTCATTGGCATCCACACTCCAACTTGAGGGGGAGTGTTAAAGGAAAATCAATTACACAATCTGATTGAGAGTGATTGGAGATTCCGATATTGTCAACTCTTGGGATAGAGGGATTATAGGATGTAAATGTAATTAGCTTTATTCTAGGATCTGCTTACTTAGAATAGCACATAGGTACTGTATAAAATCTTACCTTGTGTACCAATATTGATATCAATGCAATATACGAATTCACAATTCAAGTGTTTGGAGTTATGTGAGACCATTTTAAAACCTGAGGGGGTGTTTGTGTAATTTACAAGACCTTAGAGGATTTTGCGAAAACAAGAAAAACCTCAAGAGGTGTTAGTATAAATAACTCAAATTCGATACAATCAGTCAAAAGACTACAGACAAATGAGTTTCATAATTATGCGTATGTTGACACAAAACAAAGGATTAAAAATCAATATTTAATTTTACAAGGGGGTCGAATGGAATTTGAATCTTATACAAGGACTAAAATTGAAATTATTGAAGGTACACAAATATGGAATTGAAATTTTGTATGTACACAAATTTGGAATCCCTAGTATTATTGTACATACATAAAATTCACATTATTGAATTAAATACAAATATTGAATGACGAATACGATATGAAGTTTTCAAAACTTCTTAAGGAAACTTTTGAACCAATGCGCCGAGAGTTTTGGGTGCCTTTTAAGCCCATCGTTGCGATCTACATAGGTGATACCATATCGAACACTGAATCCCGAATTCCATTCAAAGTCATCTAGAAACGTCCATGGAAAGAATCCCTTCACTTTGACACCATTACTAAAAAGCAATAAAAGGAAATTAAATATATTAATGTCAATAATATGAATCAATAACTCAAAATCCAAAGCTATACCATATACATACATATATTTAAATATTATAAATGAATTCGTTAAGACACTTACTCAATAGAACTTTGAACGTAATGAAGGTGGCGATTGTAGAAGTCAATTCTATGGGTATCATTAAGGGCTTCCGTGAGTGATAATTTCGGATCATTCAATTCATCCACACCTACAATATATAATACATTATTACGTCGTTACAAATTTAGACTTTGTACCACTTGTGCGTGTTTTACACCAAAAATATGTGAAACATTGATCATGAAATTACTCAAGGCTAGAAAAATTACCATTTTCAGTAATGTAAATAATTGGATTGCGATACTTTTTCTTTGTGTATAGTAAAAGATGTTGAATTCCTTGTGGATAAACATTTAACCCTCCCGATTCACTCTGCACCAAAATTTGAAGATCTTTAGATTTTTAGGAGTCACATTTGTAAGTGCAAAATGATTAATGGTCGAAATCATAAAGGCTTAATCTACTTAATTTGATGCTTACCTTTGGACCGATGGGGACCCCATTACGCTCAGCTGCCACAACACAAATGAATATCAGAATCTAATTAGTCTATAAACTTAAATTGCTTGAATTAAATTATGAATTTGAACTCACATGAAAGATTAACGCCAGCATCTGTTGTGTAGCTAGCATATACCGAGTTATTTTGAGGTGCATCACTTGCATAGTAACCCGTATAGTAATTTAGTCCAAGAAAATCGAATGAACCAATTAGCAACTTGGATTGTTCTTTCGTGAATTTTGGTAATCGGCTTCCGACGAGAGCTTGCATGCTTTGCGGATAGCCACCAGTTGTCAATGGCTCAGCAAACCTATAAGAATGTAAAATTTTCAAGGATTAACTAGACATTATATTATGTATTGCTCGCTAGTAAGTAGCAAATATTGTATTCATAAGAAAATATTTGAAATACACTTGCCATCCGAACATAAAATCCAAAGCTCGTAATGTAGCATTTTTATTTTCTTTTTCTTCCGATAGGGGCTCAAACCAATTTGACACCAGTGTTATCCCTATCACTCCATTTTGAGACGCCTGCACATGAACATTTAGTTTGTTTGTTTTAGGGTCACAAAAAGGTAAATTAGTCGCTCTCTTGTTGCAACAAACTAATTAATTATACCTGGTATTTATTTTTGTACAATTTTACGGCAGCTGCATGAGCAAGGAGCTGGTGGTGTGTTACCAAATATGGTTCAATAGATGAATCTCCGCCGGTGCAGTTTAGCTGTTGCCAAGTGGAGCATCGTCCCGGAGCAAGGGACCCGGATGCATAACCATAGGCGCTGAAGGTATACGGCTCATTCAGTGTGCTCCAAATCTTTACTCGATCACCAAATTCTTTATAACAAAGTTCTGCGTAATCTTGAAAATGATTGCTGTATATACACATTTCAAAATGTAAATGTCATAATTGTATTTATTAATTAAATTATCAATATGATTCAAAGAACTAATTTCTTCACTTACACAATTTGAGGGCTTAAGAAACCACCATATTCATCTTCTAAAGTTTGGGGAAGATCCCAATGAAATAGTGTCACAAATGGCGTTAAACCTATAAATAGAATCGTCAACAAAAGCGAGTTATAAGTTTGACAAAATGACTTTTTTTATGAGTGCATGTATCTCGTATAATCGTATTGTATAAATTATTGATCATGTAAGGTGGGATGACTCACCATTGCGTAAGAGCTCATTGATGAGATTGTTGTAATATTTGATTCCTTCCTTGTTCACTCCTCCACTTAACTTTCCATCTAATAATTAAAACAAAACCAGAAAAATTTGTTATATTATTCGATAGACAACTTGGACACATTACGTAAGCGAAAACCAAGAAGGCAGAAATATTGACGATTGGTCACAAATGAACTTACTTGGTAGCAATCTTGACCATGAGATAGAGAAACGATAAGCATCCCACCCCATATTCTTCATAATCCCCACATCTTCCTACAGTGCATGACAAAAAAGAAATCAGATAAAAATTATCGGGAGCATATCTTCAATGTGATGAGTTTTCTTCATGCTTCAAATTTAATATGTGCACATTGGGTCATGAACCTTGTAGCGGTGATATTGATCAACAGTGATATCTCCATTGCTGCCATCGCTAATCTTTTCTGCAATTAATCATAGAAAATTAATTTATTTAGAGCATAAGAGTAAAAGTAGCACGATTTTGTTATTTTAAGTAATTGATGATTTGATTGGACAAACCTGGATATTTGTGGGTGAAGGTATCCCAAATGCTTGGTCCTCTACCACCTTCTTTTGCCGCACCTTCATACTGAAATACACAAGAGACACAATGAAGAAGATGTCAATATTCTTGCATGGATCGATGCTTGGTCTGAATTTGAAAGAAAACCCTAATCAAAACTCAAATTAAAGCCCAGAAAAGAGCTTACTTGGTAAGATCCAGAGCCTACACCAAATATGAACCCTTCTGGAAAACTGCTCCTATTGAGAGAAGCAGTGTCAAAATGTGTGGGTGGAGCTCTAATATCAGCTTCGCTATTTGTGAAAGCAAAGCCAATTAGTAGCAGTATGCCTAAGAGAAAAGAACGTAATTGCATTGCCATAACTTGAGGTTTTTGTTGTTGTTGTTGGTAATAATCTTGAGAAGTATAAGTTGGCTCTGGCTGGCATGCTGCGTGGCCTTTATATAGAGGAGGAAGTACGTGCTGCGCATGAGAATAGTAAACACACATGGGCATTGAATGGGTTTGAGGAGGCAACTACGTAGAATATCATGGTACAAAGGGAAATGGCAAGTTTCCTATTTGAATGAGTTTGTCATTGTCTCCTCCCAAAACTCAACTGCTAATTCAAACACGCAATATGTGATTATGTGTGAGCAGCCGCATAATAGCCGTTTGGGTCAAACTGTGAAAAGAAATTTGACACAGAATTGTTTTCTTGACAATGTAAATATGTGATTATCTTTTCTTCACAATATAATATTTGGTGCATATGTGTGAGTAGCCGCTAAGTCTGATTGAGTCTCCTAATAGTCATTTGGGTCAAACTGTGGAAAGAAATTTGACACAAAATTGTTTTCTTCACAATGTAAATTTGTAGATTGTTTTAATTCTTGAGCATAATATGTGATTATCTTTCGTATTTGACGAACTAGGAAGCGTATAGTAGAATTTTACTTTTATTTCTTTTAAACATTAGAAAAACATGTCCAATTGGTGGGGTTTTCACAAACAATCTTGAGGTTAGTTGAAACTTGAGCAATGGTTGGGGACCATTTCGGTCAAAAATCCTAAATATAAATCCATTTATGGGTAGATGATAGATACTTTGTAGGGCTCAATCCGCAATTTATTTGAAGAATATCTTGTAGGGCCCAGTTTGCATTTAATTTTTGTGATATAAACGTCTATTTTGTAAATATTCATGCATACATGATAGATTGACTAATTTTTAATCAAATAGTTAAAAGTTACATGCTCTAATTTATAAACAAGAAGCTATTATCTCTGAAAGAAAAAGAAAACCGTTATAATCACTGAAAGAAAAATGACGTAATTGCCAAACTCATCCTTACATATTTATGGTCAAAGTAATGACATTGGCTTCCACTGTTCTATACAATTCTCATATCAATTTTCTTTCTGTTTACCTAAAGATAAACATGCAGAAATGACTTATAATGGTATATTCTAGTTCGTTAAACAAAAAAGAAATCACATATATTATGTACAAAAACTTAGAGTGTCAAGAAAATAATGGTTCGTCAAATTCTTTTCAAAATTTGACCACACTATTCGTGTTTGACTAAATCAGAATTTTGCAGCTACTCGTACTATTCGTGTTTGACAATTCATCCAAATATGAAACTTTCCATTTGTACCATGACATTCTACAGAGTTGCGCCCTTAACACCCTTTCTAATTGCATGCACGTGTTTCGCAAAGAAATTATTTCACCAAGCCAACCAGAGTCAACTTATACTTATCAAGATAACCAACAAAAAACATCTTTACTTATGGCAATGCAATTAGGGTCTTTCTCTAATTTCTAATTATCAATTCACTTATTTTCTCATTTTCTGATGTTGGATTCATACTTAGATCTAATTAGGGTTTACTAGTGATTTGCTCCCTGAACTTGTACCTAACTTTCGATTACCCCCTATTTTTTTTTTTTTTTTTTATATAAGAAAAGTAAGGATATGAACCTCTCTTTTTTTTCCCACCAATCCCTCCCCCCCAGCCGTCTAAATCCTCAACATTTCATCCAATTTGCCATTAAATATGAGGGCAAAATAGTCATTTGGTATGTTAAAAATATATAAATAATGAAAAATAAAATGAAATAATACTCCTCTCTCTCTCTCTCTCTCTCTCTCTCTCTCTCTCTCTCTCTCTCTATGTGAGAATTACGGGCATTTATGGAAAAGGAGGTTTTCTTGCTCTAAGACTTTGAAACTTCAATCTATTTAATGGGTTTGGGGTTTGGAGGACTAGTTTATGTAGTAGTGGAAATTTAGCTAGAAAGCTTTTACCTTGGGTTGGAAAGCTCACTAAGCTTAGAGTTTTATCGCTGCCTAACAATGAACTTAAGTTGATTTTGTGAAGTTGTTTTTGGGGTGGATCTCGCGTGGGTATGGGGCTGGGGTATGGGTCTCAGTTGGGGAGAAAGAACATGGATAGAGAGAGATCTGAGGGTGGAGGAGATGGAAGGGGAATGAGGGGAAGGGGAGGGGAGGGAGGAGACAGAAGGGGAAGGAGAAGATAGATCGGAGGGGGAGGGTGCGGGAGATGAAGGGGGAAGGAGGGGAAAGGGAAGAGGAGGAGGAAGGGGAAGAGGAGGAGGAAGGGGAAGGAGGACTGGGTTCTTCAAGTTGGAGGGAGGGCGATTTGGCTCTAGGTTTACTCTTTTTCTTCAATTTCATCCAAAAATAATAATTTTTTTTAATAATTTAACCAAAAATTAGATGAAATGTTGAGGATTTAGACAATAGGGAGAAATTGGCAAAAAAAAGAGTTCATATCCTTAATTTTCTATATAAAAAAAAGGATAGGAGACAAATCGAAAGTTAGATACAAGTTCAGAGAATAAATCACCAGTATACCCATCTAATTATAACAAGGAAGGAAATACATATCAATGAGATCATTCACAGTGGTGACTCATCCCACTTTACATGGTTAACCATCTATACAATAACATTTACACGCAATCATAAATAATTATTTAAACAAAACTTGAATATGCTTTTATTGATCATGTTACTTATAGGTTTAATATCATTTGCGACACTCTTTTTTTGGGATCTTCCCCAAACGTCAGAAGGTAAATTTAGTGGACATGTATAGCATACGATATTTAACTCCTTATATTTCACATGATTCAAGGAAAAACATCTATATCACATATTGGATAATAATTAATTAGAAAACATAGCATAGCTCACCACATTTAACTCTTGAGATTCGTGTTCAAGTAGCAAGTAAATTACACTGATTCAACGATAATTACTGTGATAATTATCCCTAATATCAATTAAGGGTGGTGAGCAAAAATGCTTTGAAATATTATATGAGATTTCCCTTCACATCCTAATTTAAGGTACATCAATTATCTTTTGAAAACTTCAAAAGAGTTGCAAAAGGAAAACGGCTTGAAGACAAGGGTATTAACTTTTATGGGAAGAAAAATGGCATTAAAACCAGTGAAAGAAAAAAGGTTTTACCAACAATAAAATAAAATAAAAAAGTCAGTTTATCTTATTGGACTCTAAATATGCAAAGGATGATGAGTTTACCACCTACGCTAACTACAGACTTGTTCAAGCACATCTGAAAATTATTCACTTCTTCACGTTCTTCTTTCCTCTAAAATTGAAACTTACCTTTCGAAATCATTTTTTAAAATATTCTTTGTAATCTCCTAGAATTGTATATGGAATGTGAGTGCTATTATTAATTTTGAAATGCATCTACATGTAGAATGAATTTATTTTGTTGAGGTAAAAAGTTCAGGTGTATTTAATCACAATTTTATAAAAGTCTATATAATTCTAGATATGTATTCAATTCAGACTTTTTAAACTCCATTCAAATTTGGATGTATTCAATCACGATTTTAAAAGACTTCATAAAAATTTGGGTGTACTAAAAAACTCATTGATTTTAAAGGACATACAAAAAGTGGTGGATTTCGTTTGATTATAGACTAATTTTAGGCAATGAAAAATCTTTGCTTTCCCTGAGAGATTTTGATAGATAAATTATTTTTATTCTCAAGATATGATTTCACCACTTCTACTACCACAATCTTATCACCGCCACCACCACTAGCACAGTCTTTGTCGTCGTCGTCGTCGCCGTCACCACCACACTTCATTGCCGCCATCCCCCACCATCACTTCCTCCTCCACCACCACCCACCGACGTCTCCACTATTAGCGCCACCATTACCCCCACCGTCACCACCACCATTGCCAACATCATCACCATCACCATCACTGCCACCGCCACCACCTCCACCACAACTGCCACCACCCTTACCCCCCATCGCCACGACGACTACCACCCTCACTATCACCCCCACCATCACCCTTACCGTCACCACAACCACAGCCACTGCCAACATCATCATCACCATCACCTCCACCACCTCACTTTCACTGCCAGCATCATCATCAACATCACCTCCACCACCTCACTCTCACCGCCACCACCACTACCACCCCCACCTCCACCACCACTACCTCCCCCACCATCATCCACAAACCACCATCGCGACCGCCATCGCCATCATCACCCCTAAACCCATTGGTTTTTGACTGCTTTATAAATTCAATTAACATCAATAATAAAACTCAAACAAACTCAGTTAAAATCTATTCACGAATTCAATCAAAATTTGCCTAGTTTGTAGAATTCAATCAAACTCAATTAAATTCAATTAAACTCCTTCAACTTTATAACTCTTTTAAAATCATGTAACATTTAAATTGAATACACCCTCCTAAATATGCAAAGGATGAGTTTTCCACCTATGCTAGCTGCGGACTTGTTCAAGCACATCTGAAAATTATTATCATTTCTTCACGTTCCTCTTTCCTTTAAAATTGAAACATACGTTTTGAAATCATTTTTTAAATTTTTTTTGTAATCTCCTAGAATTTTATATGGAATTAGTGCTTTTATTAATTTTGACATGCATCTACATGTGGCATGAATTTATTTTGTTAAGGAAAAAAGTCATTTTGGTCCTTGTAGTTTATCACTTTTACCATTAATCCTGTAGTTTCGATTCTAAACAATGCAAGGACAATCCCCAATTTTTTTGGTCAAATTACTCTAACATAGAGGGGCATTTCGTTCTCTCTCTCTCTGTGGCTGGGGAATGTGTGAGAATCCTTATTCTTAAATGTTAATATTTTATTACCTTGGTAAATATTAAATTATAGTAATTCTGTATATATATATATATATATATATATATTATATACATATATACAATAGTTGTTTTTCTTTTAGTTCACTTAGTTGACATTCGTATAGGACTTATATATATATATATATATATATATATATGTGTGTGTGCTTAAAATGATTACATACATAGTTTTATTTCACTAGTTGTTACAGTAGTTTGTTAGTTATTCTAATTTTTAGTTTATATATATATGTGCACTTGTTTTACTTTTATATTTTAACAATAATTCATTACTTTATTATTTTATTCATTAAAATATTTCTAATGGGTGCATTGATAAATTTTAGTTGGCTAAGTAAAAGATAAAGTGGGTGTCTACTTTTTTAAAAGAAGTTGGAAATATTATTCATTAGAGACATGCATATTCATCTTTCGTCTAATTCATTGTATAGTTGGAGTTTTCCACTAGTTTGCATATCACTTTTTCTGTCAAGCATGTGATGTCTACTTGATATTGTTGGAAAGATTGTATTTAAACTAAGTGTAAGGAGCAAGCAAGTTGGGCGGGTTTTTACATAATTGTGGCGTCATGTAAGCTGGTGGTGGCATGTTAGTTTTCATCCTATTGACACCTCCACTAACATGCAATAGTTTAAAGTTTGATAGATATTTGATTTTGACTTGACAATACGTTGTTATCCCTTAAACGGCCGCCAATTGCTTCATCCAGTATAAATGAAAGTGAAGCCGATATTCCTTTAAGTATAAATAGGAATACAATTGTATCATTTTAAAAAGCAAGATGTGTATGGTTTAAGAAAGAAAGGGACGGACATACTAGGAAGAGAGTTTGAGTGTGAATGCGGTGGAAAGTAGGGAGTCGTCTTATAATTCTAGCAAAAGCTTTGGTGTCAAGGTAGGGGGTTTCTTGGGGGCCTTTACAGAGATTGATTTAATTAAATTTTGTGAGCACTATATTATGCGTGATATGATTATTTGATTAATGTTCTTGTTACAATTGAATGGTTTCCCTGGAATGTTTATGTGTTATTGACGTGCTGAATAATGTTGGCATAATTATATATACATTGGTGATATTTTAAATGGTTACATTGTTGTGAGATATATGGGATATGTGAAAGGCATAATTATATCATGTCATAAAAATTGGTTGGAGTTGTTGAGTTGAGAAAATAATAATGGAAAAGAGGGTAATGGAAATCATCTTTTGTGTAGTTCAGTCTAATTCTTGGTAGGTACCAGATCTCAGGGATCCCACGCAGTGCACATGGTTTTTATTGGGCGATTTGGGAGTACTGGCGGCAAGGAGTTAGACAAGATGACTAACAAAAGGGGAATTATGGGATGATTAAGATGGGGGTTAGTTAATATAAATGGGCAATCGGGAACAAGTGGTATAAGCATAGTATGAGATGTGTAGGTTTGCTTGTCCAGTTATATGAATTAATGGTAGTAGATGAAGAGCATTCATGCATAAATATTAGGGGATTTCACTAAAACACCCAAAATGGAAGTTGAAATTATAAAAAAACCCAAGCACTATTTAAACATATAAACACACCCAAAACCCATCATTACACACACTCAAAACCCATTTATAAACACACCCAAAAAATTGACTTTGGGGTTAATTTTGGGTGTGTTTCTATGTTTAAATAGTGCTTGGATTTTTTTATAAATACATGTCTAGAATTGGGTTTATTTATAAATTGATTGCTTGTCACTAAATTTAGTTATATCAATTTCCTATAAAAAGGTTTATGTCCCTACTTACCTGTGGTTTCGCTAACCCCTTAATAGGTTTTGCAGGTACTAAACCTGAAATCTAGAATTTAAGATGAAGTTGGCATATCTATAGCGTGTTTCATGTACATAGCTTGTGGTTGAATAATGAACTACTCTTTAAGCGAACTCTCAAGTAGTTCTAACTTGTAAAATAATGTAAAAGATGTAAAATTTTGAATGTTGTTGTTTCCGCTGAAAATTCTATGTGAAATATTTATTTATTTACTTTAATATTCTTCACATTTTAGTTATAGTCTTTATTATAATTTCTATAATTAAGGTGTGAATCACGTCTTAATCCAAGACTACGTAAATCCGTGGTAGGGGACGTGACAGAATGGTTGTGGAGGGGGTGCAAGATTGGACCAAAATGCCCTTCTATATTAGAGTAATTTGACAAAAAATTAGGTATTGTCCTTCAATTGCTCAGAATTCAAACTACAAGGACCTTAGTGGTAGAAGTGGTAAACTAGAAGGCCCAAAAATAACTTTTTCCCTTCTGTTAATGTGAAAATTTTAAATGTTAAAGCACTAGTAGAAGATGGATTCTGCCTCCGCAGTAATCCAAGTGTTCGGCTGCTTTGTTTGTCTTTGTTTAAAGCACAAATTCTCTACTGTCTGCAATTCTTCTTCTCGTATTGTTGTCTCTTTTTCTCTTTTCATATTCCATCTCAATTTCACATCTTACCGTTATGTACTGAAACATTTGAAATTCTCTTTCTTTCTTTATTGGCTGCCTAGATTTCTGCGTAATTCACTGTAAAATCAAACATCATGACTCGAATCACTTAAGATATTTGTGTCTTCGTTAAGATCAATACTCTAAAACACTGTGGCCTGCTGCTTGCTTTCGCATCATCACTAGACTTCGAGTTTTTTTATTGCTCTCTTGTCTTTTAGACTTGTGCTTTTGTAACTGGTATTCGTTACTCGCCCTGGTTCATGATGATTTACTACTTTACCACCCCAACAAAAAAAAAAAAAAAAAAAAAAAAAAAAAAAAAAAAAAAAAAAAAGGATGATGATCTCTAACCCATCTAAGCATGGTTACCCCCTAAAGAAACAAACAAAGAAAATAGAAACTTCTCTATCTAAAGCTTACAGCAATATCCTCCTCTCTCTCGTCACAGACTCAGTTCTTGATTTTTTTTTTTTTTTTTTTTTTTTTTTTTTTTTTTTTTCATTTTCTGTTCGTTTATTTATTTGTCCATAACTAAATAATTAGATCATTTCCAATCTGATTGATTATTTTTTTAGTTAGGATGATTATTTGATGTCAATATTCTTGCTTGGATCAATGCTTGGTCTAACTTGAGGTATTTTTGTTGTTGTTGGTAATAATCTTGATAAGTATAAGTTGGCTCTGGCTGGCATGCTGCATGGCCTTTATATAGAGGAGGAAGTACGTGCTGAGCATGAGAATAGTAAACACACATGGGCATTGAATGGGTTTGAGGGGGCAACTACGTAGAATGTCATGGTACAAAGGGAAATGGCAATTTTCATATTTGAATGAGTCTGTCGTTGTCTCCTCCCAAAACTCAACTGCTAATTCAAACACGCAATATAATGGTGCATATATGTGAGTGGCCGCATAGTGGAGTCTCCTAATAGCCGTTAGGGTCAAACTGTGAAAAGAAATTTGACAGAATTGTTTTCTTCACAATGTAAATATGTGATTAACTCTTCTTCACAATATAATATTTGGTGCGTATGTGTGAGTAGCCGCTAAGTCTGATTGAGTCTCCTAATAGCCATTTGGGTCAAACTGTGAAAAGAAATTTGACACAAAATTGTTTTCTTCACAATGTAAATTTGTAGATTATTTCAATTCTTGGGCATAATATGTGATTATCTTTTGTATTTGACGAACTAGGAAGCGTATAGTGGAATTTTACTTTTATTTCTTTTAAACATTAGAAAAACATGTCCAATTTGGTGGGGTTTTCACAAACGATCTTGAGGTTAGTTGAAACTTGAGCAATGGTTGGGGACCATTTAGGTCAAAAATCCTAAATATAAATCCATTTATGGGTAGATGATAGATACTTTGTAGGGCCCACTCCGCAATTTATTTGAAGAATATCTTGTAGGGCCCACTTTGCATTTAATTTTTGTGATATAAACGCCTATTTTGTAAATATTTATGCATACATGGGTGGATTGACTAATTTTTAATCAAATAGTTAAAAGTTACATGGTCTAATTTATAAACAAGAAGCTATTATCTTCAAGGTGCGAAAAAAGAGATTATGCATTTAATATCTCTGAAACCGTCAAAAGAATATTAAAAGAGAAAAAGAAAACAAGAAAACGTTGTGAAGACGTTGTAATCACTGAAAGAAAAATAACGTAATTGCCAAACTCATCCTTACATATTTATGGTCAAAGTAATGACATTGGCTTCCACTGTTCCACCTACAATTCTCATAGCAATTTTCTTTCTGTTTACCCTAAAGATAAACATGCAGAAATGACTTTTAATGGTATATTCTAGTTCGTTAAACAAAAAAGAAATCACATATATTATGTACAAAAAACTTATAGTGTCAAGAAAATAATGGTCCGTCAAATTCTTTTCAAAATTTGACCACACTATTCGTGTTTGACTGAATCAGAATTTTGCAGCTACTCGCACTATTCGTGTTTGACAATTCATCCAAATATGAAACTTTCCATTTGTACCATGACATTCTACAGAGTTGCGCCCTCAACACCCTTTCTAATGGCATGCATGTGTTTTGCAAAGAAATTTATTTCACCATGCCGACCAGAGTCAACTTACACTTATCAAGATTATTACCAACAAAAAACATCTTTACTTATGGCAATGCAATTAGGGTATTTTCTCTATCTCTAAGAGTAATGCTACACTTACCACATTTATATCCCACATTAATGTGATTGTCCAATTCATTTATTTTCTCATTTTCTGATGTTGGATTCACAAATTACATCTAATTGTAACAAGGAAGGAATTAAATATCAATGAGCTACTAATCCCACTTTACATGATTAATCATCTATACAATAACATTTACATGCAATCATAAATAATTGTTTAAACAAAACTTTAATATGCTTTTATTGATCATGTTATTTATAGGTTTAATACCATTTGTCACACTCTTCTATTGGGATCTTTCCCAAGCGTTAGAAGGTAAATTTAGTGGACATGTATAGCATATGATATTTAGCTCCTTATATTTCACATGATTCAAGGAAAAACATCTTTATCACATTTGGGATAATAATTAATAGAGAACATAGCATAGCTCACCACATTTAACTCTTGAGATTCGTGTTCATGTAGGAAGTGTTAGCGAGATCCTAACTTAATTAGGAGATTTATTTCCTAGTTTATTAGGACTATATATTTTTTCCTTTTGTACAGATATTATGTAATTAAGATTTTATCTTTTTTCGTAGTTTGACCATACTAGGGTTACATCTTTGTATTATAAATACATCCTTTTGGAGAATGAAATACAACATGAAAATATTCTATCCATATTATTTGAGTTGGCATCAGAGCCAACTTTTCTGGTGACCTGTGTGTTGTGCCCACCCATGTTCTAGTAGAATGTGTTTTTTTTTCCTACCTGTACCGTGTGTGCCCTCCTGGGTTTGTGTGTTGTGTTGTAGTGTTCATGCCTCTACTGTGTTTGTGTCATTCCTGTATTCGTGCATCTGCCGTATTTATGCATTTGCTGTGTTTCGCTATGTACTCTACCGTGTACGTGCCTCTACTGTGTTCGTGCATGTTTTCGTGCATCTGCCGTATTTGTGCCTTTGCTGTGTTTCGTTGTATACTCTGCCTGTTGAGTTTCTGCTGCAATCATGGGTGATCGCTCCATTATTGGTGATGCTGCTATTGCTTATATAAATTTGTGTGTTTCTGACTTTATTCCAAGTACTGGCTCCAATACTTGGATAATTGACACCAGTGCTTATGATCATATGACTTATGATGCTAAATTTTTTTATCAGTTGTCTAGTAACACCCGTGACTCATACATAACTAGTGCTAATGGCTTGCCCTCTCCAATTACTGGTGATGGCACAATCTCTCTCACTCCTACTCTATCATTGTCTCGTGCATTATTAGTTCCCAATATCCTTTGTAACTTGTTATATGTTGGTCGATTACTTGATACGTACATTTAATGCTTCTGCTACTTTCTATCCTACACATTGCTCTTTTTAGGATCTTAAGACTCACGAGACGATTAGGCATGGTAAACGGATAGGGGGGTTATATTATTTGACGTTGCCTTCTGCCCCAGTTCGTGATCGTGTCGTTAATACTGTTCGAAGTTGCAGTGTCAAAGACAAACAACAAATTTGATTATGGCATCGTCACTTGGGACACCCATCATTTGGCTACCTTAGGCGTATGTTTCCATCTTTGTTCCGCTCTTGTGATGAGTCCAGTTTTAAGTGTGAGACATGTATTTTGGCCAAGAGTCATCCCACTGTCTTTCCTTTGAGTGACAATAAAGCTGCAAAGCCTTTTGATTTAGTGCATTCTAATGTGTAGGGTCCAACTCGGGTTACTTCAAACAGATTTCGTTGGTTCGTCACATTTATTGATGTTTGCACCCAACTCACTTGGGTTTTCTTGCTGAAAAATAAACATGATGTTGCTTTCATTTGTCCAGAGTTTTGTACTATAGTGTCTATTCAATTTAATGCTTGGGTCAAAATATTCCGGATTGATAATGGAGGAGAATATATGAAAATTACTTTGGCATTTTTCTTCCGTGCTCAAGGTATTATTCACCAAATGACAACTCATTTTACTCCTCAACAAAATGGTGTGTCCGAAAGAAAGAACCGACAATTGCTTGAAGTTGCTCGCTCACTCATATTGGATATGTCTATTCCCCATCATCTTTGGGGGCATGCTGTTCTGTCTGCTGCCTATTTGATTAATCGTACTCCTAGCCGGGTTCTTGATTTCAAGACTCCGCATGATGTGTTTGCTAATCAGGTTTCCCCTGTCTCAGCCTCCAAGTTGCCCCCTAAAGTTTTTGGGTGTGTTGCTTATGTTCATGTCTACTCTCATCAACAGAGTAAAATTGATTATTATGCTTTGCGATGTGTCTTTATTGGTTACTCTTCTACTCATAAGGGTTATAAGTGTTATCATCCACCTACTTAGAAGGTGCATGTTACTTTGGATGTGACTTTCCATGAAGAAGTGCCCTATTATGTCTCTCCCTAATCTCCAATTCAAGGGGAGAGGGGGAGTGAATTGGAGAGTCTTAGATTGGAGAATCTTGGACTTGAATTGGAGAATAATGTGTTTGAAGATACTATTCTTGAGAAGGAAATGACTAGTCGCACTGAAGCAAGCGACCGGTCGCCCATATTTGAAGAAGAAACATGTGGTCTATGTGAAGAAATGACTGGACACCCTTTGGAACTCGACCAGTCACCTATATCTGGAGATGAAGTAGGTGTTCTCGGTGTCGAAACGACCGGTCGCATTGAAACAAGTGGCCAGTCGACTGTATCTGAAAATAGTGACAGTGATTCTTGTATGGATGAGGTCGATGCAATAGCCCCATCTGCCTTGCTAGTGCCCCAATTTACTCGTGATAGTGAATCAAGTGAGGTAATTTCTAATGATCTATTTGTGTCAACTTCTCAATTATCCCCACGAACCACTCGTGGGAAACTTAAAGTACAATATTCTCCTGATATACATGTCAAATCTAAATATCACATTAATTATTATGTGTCAACTCATCGTTTATCTAAGTCATATGTATCATATTTAAGTCAATTATCTAGTGTATGTGTGCCGACTAAGCTGTATGATGATTTATCTAACCCCAAATGGATGGATGCCATGAATGCTGAAATGGATGCCTTGAACAAGTGTAAAACATGGGATTTAGTTCCTTTGTCACGAAGGAAGAAAGCTGTTGTATGCAGATGAGTGTTTACTTTAAAGCATAAGGATGATGGTTACATTGACCGTTACAAGGATAGATTGGTAGCAAAAGGTTATACTTAGACTTATGGAGTGGATTATTTGGAGACCTTTGTCCCTGGCTACTAACTGCGACTGACCCTTATTGAATTCAATGTCAAAAATGTGTTTCTGCATGTTGACCTCAAGGAGGAGATTTACATGGATCTCTCTCCTGGTATTCATGTAACCTCTAAGGAAGGTGTTGTGTGTAAGCTGCGAAAGTTATTATATGGATTGAAGCGGTCTCCAAGAGCATGGTTTGGGAGATTTACAGCATCTATGAAGAAATTTGGGTATGTGCAGAGTAACTTAGACCATACTTTGTTTCTAAAGCGTCATAAAGGTAAATGGACAACTTTAATTATTTATGTTGATGATATGATTGCGCCTGGAGATGATCAGGTAGAAATGCAAAATCTTCAGAAGTATTTGGCTTCCGAGTCTGAGATGAAGTCATTGGGTGATTTGAAATATTTTCTTGGGATTGAAGTTGCTAGATATAAACATGGTATCTTTCTGTCTCAAAGAAAGTATATTTTGGATTTACTTGCAAAAATTGTAATGTTAGATTGTAAACCAATTGATACACCTAATGAACAGAATCATACGTTGGGGTTATATCCTGATCAAGTCCCTATAGATAAAGAGCGTTATCAACGACTTATGGGAAATTGATTTATTTAACTCATACACGTTCTGATATTGCATATGCAGCGAGTGTAGTGAGTCAATTTATGCATTCTCTTAGTGAAGATCATATGGGTACTGTGATGCGCATTTTGAGGTCTCTGAAAGTAACTCTTGGCAAGAGGTTAATGTTTTGCAAATATGGGCATACAGATGTGGAAGGGTATACAGATGCTAATTGGGCTGGTTCAATCACTGATAGACATTCTACGTCTGGGTATTTCACATTTGTTGGTGGTAGTCTTGTTACTTGAAGGAGTAAAAAGCAAAAAGTGGTGTCTAGGTCTAGTGCCGAGGCCGAGTACCGTGGGATGGCTCAAGGTGTGTGCAAGTTACTATGGTTGAGAAGATTGTTGAGAGATCTTGGGTTTGGACCCCAGAAACCCATGGATTTGTATTGTGATAATAAAACTGCAATTGCAATTGCGCATAACCATGTGCAACATGATCGTATATAGCATGTGGAGGTTGATCGACATTTTGTTAAAGACAAGTTGGATGCTGAAATTATTTCTTTTCCGTTTATAACATCCGAGTACGACCAGCTTAGTCGGTTCGGCCAGATTAATACCCACCCCTGAGGAAAATGTAGTAAACATGAATTTGGGTGAGACACAATCACACTTAAAAATAATTACCTTTTCTAAATTTCTTGTATGGGGTATGTAATTGTTTGGTTTCATTCAACACCAAAACTAGCAAACTCATCCAAGACATTCATTCATATAACACCAAAACTTAACTATGATATTAGAGAATAACATATAGAGCGTGCATGTACTTAGTTGAGCAGCCTCTCAATAAAAATAAAAATAAAGACTAACTTAAAAACCAAACATTGCTATATATAAAGATCGATTTTGGCCAATTGCTTTTTATTTGATAATAATATTCAAATTATTCCACCGGGCATAATATCGAGCAATTTATTTGCTCTTTTTTCATCTGAAGACGATTAAACGTTGAACAAATCACTAACAGTTGAACATGCAATAACAAGCATAATCAGTTTGAGCAACATTGGCAATGCATTTATATCCAGGATCATGGTGTTTCTCCCAGCACTTCTTCCCGCAGTCTGATAAAGTACACCCGCTTGCATACAACTGCTCATCACATCTCTTTTGTGCATCAGCTTGAGGCACGTTTTGGTTGTTCAGGGCAACTGCAAAATCATCAAATTTATATAAGTCAACAAGTTTTTTTTTCTTTCCCGCAGAGTATATCAAAAGCAATTCTATTCAATTTACAAGGCATCATAGAATAGAATAATTTTATGTTTTTCTTTTCTTCTTTTTTTGTGTTTTTCAATCTTCCTCTTCCTGGGTGCCGAACAATAGGGTATATAATAAAGTGTTATATGCAAAGGCAATTAAAAGACAGTTTACATGCTTTTTACGACTCAAGCCACGCTTAAGCGGCAAAAATTCGTGGGGTTAAGTAGGAAGCATTTGCTGCCAATGTGGCCTAGTCCAGTGAAAAAGAGCATTGACTTGCAGATGTGTGGTCTCATGTTCGAATCCCCATGGCACCTTGATAGTGTGTGTCGGTGTGTGAGAAAACCCCCCTCTCCCTTGATGGGAGGTGAAGAGTGAGTTCTTTGAACTCTTGTGATGGATTCGAATAAGGATAAGTGGTGTACCACTAGAGTTTTAATTAAGTCGCTACATGTTTCACTTAAAACAAAGAGGTAAAGTTTATGTGTTGCATTGTGAATCAAGAAGAAGTAATGTTATAACCCAAAAGTAAAAACAAACAAATGGAAAGCACCAAAAAAACTGACAAAGGATAAGCCAACAAACCTGAGAAAACAAGAACTAGAAGGAAGAAACGGAAGAAAGAAAACCTAGACATCTCTAGCAACTATGTGTGTAACAAATGTGTATATTTCTGCTTTGTGGAATGTTGGGGAAGAAGACTCTGTGGAGAAGAAATATATAGGGAGGATGGGGATAAGCGGGTAACAAAACAAGGAAAGCTTTTAAACATGTTTTCCTTTTTTTTTTAATGTAGTCAGATTTTGCTCTGTTTATATAGTAGTTCTATTACATTTTAACTTAACGTTATGTTTGCTAATAAAAACAAATTCATGTTACTTTGTTCTCAATTTTTTTTTCCATCTTCAATTTATAAAGAGAATCGAAAACAAGAAAATTTACCAAATGAGTAATTCAAATATAATACTATTTCAAATATTTCCTTACAGTAGGTGATGTAGCATATGTAGACGTGAGTTAACCTACTAAATTAAGGAGATTTATTTCCTAAGTTAACTAGGTGATTTACTTCCTTATTTCATATAGTTGACACATCCTTATATAATTAGGAGATATTTTCCTAATTAATTTATGTATCTATTTCCTTATAAAGCACCCTTGTAAACTCCTGCATATACCTTCTTATAGAGAAAAATGCAAACCTAAAGTATTCAAACCATATTCATATTTTAGCATGGTATCATAACAATCAATCCTATATTGTCTCTAAGCCCTCAAATCATACCATCCAATTTAAACACAAACCTAAATCAAATTCCTCACATCCAAATCCTACACTCAAATCAAATCCTCTTATCAAACTCCCTCAACACATACATTTATCTTACCTTCAAATTGTTTGGCTGCAATGGGTGACATCTCGCTTTTGCACAATGAAGGATCTTCCACCTCCACTCCTCAAATCATTACTATTCAAAGTCACAACTCCCTGCTCCTTGTCGGCATCACCTTGACTGAGACCAATTATGCCTTATGGTCTCAAGTCATGGAGATGCGCATTACTGCCTCGGAAAAAGTGGGTTACCTAACTGGTGACACTTCCAAATCTCCTAAGCTCTCGTCCACCTCCAACAAATGGTGTACCGAGAACTTTCGGGTCAAGAGGTGGTTAATCGACTCCAAAGTCTTTTCATCCAGTTAAGTACTACCAAAGAAATATGGGCCGCTGTCAAGAATACCTACTATGAAGGTGGCAATGTAACTTATCTTTTTTATCTCAACAAACGGGCGTTCACAATTAAACAGAACGGTGCACCCGTTCATAAATACTGCAGCCAGCTGTAAGGCATCTTTCAAGAAATTGACCATTGGAGTCCCATCCAAATGCATCGCGCCACTGAGCGTCAAACAGAACTGGATCGTCTACGTGTTCACGTTTTTCTTGCCGGTCTTGACCCTGAGTTTGATCAGTCTAGGGGGAAATCCTATGCAAAGATCTTAAATTAGACCTTAATCAAACCTTTGCCTATGTTAGTCGCGAAGCTCAACAGAGAATGACCATGACTGGTGCTCAAGAAGATTCTATCATGGTAACTCAACGTCAAAGGGGGGCCCCTGAATTCTATCGGTAGCTCTTCTCGAAATAAGTCCTCAAGATCTCGTCCAGAGAAGAAGTGCACCCACTGTGGAGGAGACAAACATATCCGTGCTGGCTGTTACGAACTTATTGGGTACCTTGATTGGTGGGACCATTCCAAAGCTCACTGTAGGAATATGAGCAAATCACTCAACACATATTCCGAATCAAATCTTGTAAGTCCTATGGTTTCAGCTACACCAACTCCAACATTTGCCTCCATAGCCACATGAAGTACCAAATGTTATGTTTTAAATACTTCATCCAAGAAGAACACATGCATCATTAACTTAGGTGCAACTGACCATATGACATTTGATCATGGACAAATTGCCTCTCATACACCATCTCCTCAATCGGTGGTGTCTAATGCTAATGGTACCCCCTGCCCCATGATTGGGGAGGGTTCTCTTTCTCTCCCCGACTCCTTCAATTTGGATTCTATGTTGATTGTTCTGTCCCTGCACCATAAACTATTGTCTGTTGCCCAAATTACTATGGTATATTCTAGTTCGTTAAACAAAAAAAAAATCACATATACTATGTACAAAAAACTTACAGTGTCAAGAAAATAATGGTCCGTCAAATTCTTTTCAAAATTTGACCACACTATTCGTGTTTGACTAAATCAAAATTTTGCAACTACTCGCACTATTCGTGTTTGACAATTCATCCAAATATGAAACTTTCCATTTGTACCATGACATTCTACAGAGTTGCGCCCTGAACACCCTTTCTAATTGCATGCACGTGTTTTGCAAAGAAATCACCATGCCAACCAGAGCCAACTTATACTTATCAAGATTACCAACAAAAAACATCTTTACTTTTGGCAATGCAATTAGGGTCTTTTCTCTAATTTCTAATTATCAATTTACTTATTTTCTCATTTTCTGATGTTGGATTCATAATTTGATCTAATTAGGATATACTAGTGATTTGCTCCCTGAATTTGTACCTAACTTTCGATTACCCCCTATCTTTTTTTTTTAAGAAAAGTAAGGATATGAACTTTTTTTTTTCCACCAATCCCTCCCCCCAGTCTAAATCCTCAACATTTCATCCAATCTGCCGTTAAATCTGAGGGTAAAATGGTCATTTCGTACGTTAAAAAAATGTAAATAATGAAAAATAAAATGAAATAATACTCCTCTCTCTCTCTCTCTCTCTCTCTCTCTCTCTATGAGAATTACGGGCATACTTCACTAAGCTTAGAGTTTTATCGCTGCCTAACAATGAACTTAAGTTGATTTTGGGGTGGATCTCGCATGGGTATGGGGCTGGGGTATGGGTCTCAGTTGGGGAGAAAGAACATATATATATATATATAGAGAGAGAGAGAGAGAGAGAGAGAGAGAGAGAGAGAGAGAGAGAGAGATCTGAGGGTGGAAGAGATGGAAGGGGAATGAGGGTAAGGGGAAGAAGAGGAGGAAAGGGAGGGGAGGGAGGAGACGGAAGGGGAAGGAGAAGATAGATCGGAGGGGGAGGGTGTGGGAGATGAAAGGGGAAGGAGGGGAAAGGGAAGATGAGGAGGAAAGGGAAGGAGGATTGGGTTCTTCAAGTTGGGGGGGACGGGGGGTTTGGCTCTAGGTTTACTCTTTTTCTTAAATTTTTTACAAAGAAATAATTTTAAAAAAATAATTTAACCGAAAATTGGATGAACTGTTGAGGATTTAGACGATATGGGGGAAATTGGCAAAAAAGAGAGTTCATATCCTTAATTTTCTATAAATAAATAAAAAAAAAGGATAGGGGGCAAATCGAAAGTTAGGTACAAGTTTAGAGAGTAAATCACTAGTATACCCATCTAATTATAACAAGGAAAGGAAATAAATATCAATGTGTTGTAAATGCATGAGGCGGTGGATGACCACCATACCTCTTAGTATTCCACCTATGCACTAAGTATTTGTAATTAGTGCTTGTAACCTATAGGTATATTGTAAATGATGGGATTCAATCTCCTATCTTGTAAGCCTATAAATAGATAGTTCTACCAAAGATTAAGTGAAGAATAAACATGGTGAAACTTTGTCTTTAGCATATCACTTCTCTCTACATTTTCTCCCTCTAGTTTTATAACATGTTATCAGCACGACATTGCTCTTGGTATGTTTTCTTCGTTTGAATTTTCTTTATTCTTATATGAGCTAGAGTTATCACATAGTATAGAGTTTCTATATACTCACCATCAGACTTCATCATGCTCGTTTAAGGAAAAAATTCTTATTCTGATTACACATGAATATAATGCCATGTTTTTTTATATTTGTTTGTTTATTTAATTTTAAGTATGATCTTAATTATTATGATGAGTTTGTATTATACAAATGATCAAGGCCCGAATTTCCTCGATCCTCATCATATAGCTAGATTAGGACGTAGAGTTCTTTTGATTGAATCAGAATCTAAAGTTCTTTGATTCTAAATAATTGAGGGCATGACGTTTCGCGAATTTAAAGAGCACATAAGGACATGAAACTCCTCTATTTTGTATTAATCAAAATCAGAATTCCATGAGGCCTACATATGTCAAGAACTTGAACCAGAAGTTTCGAGTGCATATACATCGATTTGAGTATGAAGTTCAAAGCACAACTATTAATTCAATTTATTTAGATCTACGTATTTGAACCTGAAGTTTCAAATATATATTTATATGAACCTGAAGTTCATAGTTTTTCATGGATCTTAATACTATATATGAACCTAAAGTTCATTACTTATTTGTGCCTATATGAACCTAAATTGGTTAGAAATCCAATTCTTAAACTTGTAGTTTTATCTACATATTGAATCCACATTAATATTGGATTATCTTGGAATTTCATAGTCTTTAATTAATTTATTTTATTCATCGTTTATACCATTTTACTCATTTTATTTTATTTATGTTGGGTTATTAGTTAATTTCGTTTTACAATGGTAATGTTTTGTATTACCACCCCAAAATTGATAGCCAGAGACGTCTATTGGAGAAACTTCCTACTTTCTTTTGTGGGTAGGAAGTTTATGATGTCATGAACGAGAAGTTCATGAGGCCCCAATATTACACAACCATTACAGTAGTTGAAGATTATGATGTTATGAACCAGAAGTTCATTAATCGGATAACTTTTATGTTGTGGCATGACTATCTTGGCAATCCATGTTCTACAATGATACATAAGATTTTTATAAATTTGTAAGGACATCGTTTAAAGACTCAAACTATTGTCTTGTCCAACAAATATCATTACACAAAATTCTCACAAATAAAAGCTGTCATGAGTTCATCTCAGTCAAAAATTGACTTTGAGCCATCTTTCCTTAAATAATTCAAGGGGATTTTTGTGAGCCTATACAACATTTAATTATGGATCACTTCACTAGTTTTATTGAATTTGCCTACTAAAATGGTCACATATTTGTCTCTTGTCAAGACACTCGCGAGCACAACTCCCACATTATCCAATCCAGTCAATTTGACTTGATAATGATGATGAGTTTATTTTCCTAAATTTTGAGACAATTTTCCCGCCGTTAAGGGGAGAAATGACAGTTCCTGAAGAACGTCGCGAAATGTTGTTGAATCGGTCCGCTTTTGTGTCATCAAGATAATGCATATATAAATTTATGAATATGCAAACATGGATTGATATTCATGTATCACAATACATTAACATGACAATAAGTGACTATGAGCATGACAAAAATATAGGTTCTAAAAACTTAACTCCCTAGAAGTGGAGATTATTTGAAAAATTCAAGCCCTATAAAAAATAACACTCTATACGAGGTTATGATCCACATATTCTAATTAATTCATCGTAAAAGAGATGTTTGTCCCATAAGTGACAACACCAGCCCCTGAAGAGGCATTGGTACCCTAAAGCAATGAGATGCTTATAAATTATGCATGCGCATGCACATGAGAATTGTGGGATCGCGAATTGATGATACATTTGGTTTATTAGTAGTTACTACAATCATCAAGGGCTATGATTATATTAAATCGCCTTATGAATGTCGACAAGTTAAGTGATTGGCCAAAATGGAAATAGGCAATTCCATTTATCACTAAATATGAAGTGTGGGATATTAAACCTATAACTCAAACACCAAATTACAAATGTTAAGTATAAGGTTATGAATTGGTGCTTGTGAAGTGAAATAAGATCACTAATATGACATAAGGTTTCCTAGTAAGGACATGGTTTTAGTCTCCCATCTCATCATAGATGCATCCATATTTCTATAAGTACAGTGTTATTTTAACGCGAAACTTATAGCATGTGTTAAATGCATATTTATTAAGACTATATGGTACATGAAGATCCTCAAAGCTTATGAAATATTTGAAATATATCTCATGAAGCGACCCCTTGAAGGATATAAAGTACCACGATATTCTTGATTAAGAGTTAACACTAAGAGTTTGAGTATTTTGAATTCAAATTTTATATTGTTGTAACATATTCTAACTATTAGATTAGTTTTTGATGCTACTAAAGAGTTCAATCATTTGAAAAGTGAAAAACAGGTCGAATAGTGTGATAAACGATCATGTGTGAAGACAATGTTGCTTGTATTGCTCAAACAAGAGAAGGGTTCATCAAGGGTGACAATTTCAAAAAAAAACCAAGAGATTGGAGTTAAACAAATTTGTTCACAAGATAATCTGGCAAACCTTTTTACCAAATCTTTTTCTGAAGCCTAAATTTCATAAGTTAATGAAAATCAGAGGGAGATATTAATCAGGGGGAGATATCAATCAGGGGGAGCATCCCAATTCTACTACATATAGGACATATGCGCGTTGTACTCTTTTTCTCTTTGACTAGGTTTTTGTCCCATTGGGTTTTTCCTAGCAAGGTTATCAAGTAGAAATGCAAAATCTTCATAAGTATTTGCCTTCCGAGTTTGAGATGATGTCATTGGGTGATTTAAAGTATTTTCTTGGGATTGAAGTTGCTAGATATAAACATGTTATCTTTCTGTCTCAAAGAAAGTATATTTTGGATTTACTTGCAAAAACTGTAATGTTAGATTGTAAACTAATTGATACACCTAGTGAACAGAATCATAAGTTGGGGATTGTATCCTAATCAAGTCCCTATAGATAAAGAGCGTTGTCAACGACTTATGGGGAAATTGATTTATTTAGCTCATACACGTCCTGATATTGCATATGCAACGAGTATAGTGAGTCAGTTTATGCATTCTCTTAGTGAAGATCATATGGGTACTATGATGCGCATTTAAGGTATCTGAAAGTAACTCCTAGCAAGAGGTTAATGTTTTGCAAGTATGGGCATACATATGTGGAAGGGTATACAGATGCTGATTGGGCTGGTTCAATCACTGATAGACATTCTATGTCTGGGTATTTCACATTTGTTTGTGGTAATCTTGTTACTTGGAGGAGTAAAATGCAAAAAGTGGTGTCTAGGTCTAGTGTCGAGGCCGAGTACTGTGGGATGGCTCAAGGTGTGTGCAAGTTACTATGGTTGAGAAGATTGTTGAGAGATCTTGGGTTTGGACCCCAGAAACCCATGGATTTGTATTGTGATAATAAAACTGCAATTGCAATTGCGCATAACCCTATGCAACATGATCGTACAAAGTATGTGGAGGTTGATCAACATTTTGTTAAAGAGAAGTTGGATGCTGAAATTATTTCTTTTCCGTTTATATCATCTGAGTATCAACTGACAAATGTTCTTACGAAAACTGTGACTACTACGGTCTTTCTTAACTCACTTGACAAGTTGGGCATGCATGACATCTTTGCTCCAACTTGAGGGGGAGTGTTAGCGAGATCTTAACTTAATTAGGAGATTTATTTCCTAGTTTATTAGGACTATATTTCTTTCCTTTTGTATAGATATTGTGTAATTAGGATTTTATATTTTTTTCCTAGTTTGACCCTACTAGGGTTACATCCTTGTATTATAAATACCTCATTTTGGAGAATGAAATACAACCTAAAAATATTCTACCCATATTGTTTGACTGCAAGTAAATTACACTGATTCAAAGATAATTACTGTGATAATTATACTTAATATCAATTAAGGGTGGTGAGCAAAAATGCTTTGAAATATTATATGAGATTTACCTTCATGTCCTAATTTAAGGTACATCAATCATCTTTTGAAAAAATCATATTTACCCTAAATTTGGTTAAATCTAACAGAAAATTAGACAGTATGACCAATTTGCCTAATAATATAGAGTTGATGGACCATTTGAACAAATAATTTATTTGAGGGACCAAAATGTAAATTGAGTATAAGTTTGAGGACCATTTGAGCAAATACCCATATGAAATAATTAATAAAAATGGAACGTTTTAAAACAAAATTTCCTTCGTTTTAATTTGCCCTCTTTACATATACTTTAATGATCAAATATAATTTTGTTCAGCAGCCTCTCAATAAAAATAAAAATAAAGACTCACTTAAAAACCAAACATTGCTATATATAAAGATCGATTTTGGCCAATTGCTTTTTATTTGATAATAATATTCAAATTATTCCACCGGGCATAATATCGAGCAATTTATTTGCTCTTTTTTCATCTGAAGACGATTAAACGTTGAACAAATCACTAACAGTTGAACATGCAATAACAAGCATAATCAGTTTGAGCAACATTGGCAATGCATTTATATCCAGGATCATGGTGTTTCTCCCAGCACTTCTTCCCGCAGTCTGATAAAGTACACCCGCTTGCATACAGCTGCTCATCACATCTCTTTTGTGCATAAGCTTGAGGCACGTTTTGGTTGTTCAGGGCAACTGCAAAATCATCAAATTTATATAAGTAAACAAGTTTTTTTTTTTCTTTCCCGCAGAGTATATCAAAAGCAATTCTATTCAATTTACAAGGCATCATAGAATATAATTTTATTTTTTTTTTTTTTTTTTTTTTTTTTTTTTTTTTTTTTTTTTCTTCCTCTTCCTGGGTGCCGAACAATAGGGTATATAATAAAGTGTTATATGCAAAGGCAATTAAAAGACAGTTTACATGCTTTTTACGACTCAAGCCACGCTTCAGCGGCAAAAATTCGTGGGGTTAAGTAGGAAGCATTTGCTGCCAATGTGGCCTAGTCTAGTGAAAAAGAGCATTGACTTGTAGATGTGTGGTCTCATGTTCGAATCCCCATGGCACCTTGATAGTGTGTGTCGGTGTGTGAGAAAACCCCCCTCTCCCTTGATGGGAGGTGAAGAGTGAGTTCTTTGAACTCTTGTGATGGATTCGAATAAGGATAAGTGGTGTACCACTAGAGTTTTAATTAAGTCGCTACATGTTTCACTTAAAACAAAGAGGTAAAGTTTATGTGTTGCACTGTGAATCAAGAAGAAGTAATGTTATAACCCAAAAGAAAAAACAAACAAATGGAAAGCACCAAAAAAACTGACAAAGGATAAGCCAACAAACCTGAGAAAACAAGAACTAGAAGGAAGAAACGGAAGAAAGAAAACCTAGACATCTCTAGCAACTATGTGTGTAACAAATGTGTATATTTCTGCTTTGTGGAATGTTGGGGAAGAAGACTCTGTGGAGAAGAAATATATAGGGAGGATGGGGATAAGCGGGTAACAAAACAAGGAAAGCTTTTAAACATGTTTTCCTTTTTTTTTTAATGTAGTCAGATTTTGCTCTGTTTATATAGTAGTTCTATTACATTTTACCTTAACGTTATGTTTGCTAATAAAAACAAATTCATGTTACTTTGTTCTCAATTTTTTTTTCCATCTTCAATTTATAAAGAGAATCGAAAACAAGAAAATTTACCAAATGAGTAATTCAAATATAATACTATTTCAAATATTTCCTTACAGTAGGTGATGTAGCATATGTAGACGTGAGTTAACCTACTAAATTAAGGAGATTTATTTCCTAAGTTAACTAGGTGATTTACTTCCTTATTTCATATAGTTGACACATCCTTATATAATTAGGAGATATTTTCCTAATTAATTTATGTATCTATTTCCTTATAAAGCACCCTTGTAAACTCCTGCATATACCTTCTTATAGAGAAAAATGCAAACCTAAAGTATTCAAACCATATTCATATTTTAGCATGGTATCATAACAATCAATCCTATATTGTCTCTAAGCCCTCAAATCATACCATCCAATTTAAACACAAACCTAAATCAAATTCCTCACATCCAAATCCTACACTCAAATCAAATCCTCTTATCAAACTCCCTCAACACATACATTTAACTTACCTTCAAATTGTTTGGCTGCAATGGGTGACATCTCGCTTTTGCACAATGAAGGATCTTCCACCTCCACTCCTCAAATCGTTACTATTCAAAGTCACAACTCCCTGCTCCTTGTCGGCATCACCTTGACTGAGACCAATTATGCCTTATGGTCTCAAGTCATGGAGATGCGCATTACTGCCTCGGAAAAAGTGGGTTACCTAACTGGTGACACTTCCAAATCTCCTAAGCTCTCGTCCACCTCCAACAAATGGTGTACCGAGAACTTTCGGGTCAAGAGGTGGTTAATCGACTCCAAAGTCTTTTCATCCAGTTAAGTACTACCAAAGAAATATGGGCCGCTGTCAAGAATACCTACTATGAAGGTGGCAATGTAACTTATCTTTTTTATCTCAACAAACGGGCGTTCACTATTAAATAGAATGATGCACCCGTTCATAAATACTGCAGCCAGCTGTAAGGCATCTTTCAAGAAATTGACCATTGGAGTCCCATCCAAATGCACCGCGCCACTGACGTGACTGAGCGTCAGACAGAACTGGATCGTCTACGTGTTCATGTTTTTCTTGCCAGTCTTGACCCTGAGTTTGATCAATCAGGGGGGAAATCCTATGCAAAGATCTTAAATTAGACCTTAATCAAACCTTTGCCTATGTTAGTCGCGAAGCTCAACAGAGAATGACCATGACTGGTGCTCAAGAAGATTCTATCATGATAACTCAACGTCAAGGGGGGCCCCAGAATTCTATCGGTGGCTCTTCTCGAAATAAGTCCTCAAGATCTCGTCCAGAGAAGAAGTGCACCCACTGTGGAGGAGACAAACATATCTGTGCTGGCTGTTACGAACTTATTGGGTACCTTGATTGGTGGGACCATTCCAAAGCTCACTGTAGGAATATGAGCAAATCACTCAACACATCTTCCGAATCAAATCTTGTAAGTCCTATGGTTTCAGCTACACCGGCTCCAACAGTTGCCTCCATAGCCACATGAAGTACCAAATGTTATGTTTTAAATACTTCATCCAAGAAGAACACATGCATCATTAACTTGGGCGCAACTGACCATATGACATTTGATCATGGACAAATTGCCTCTCATACACCGTCTCCTCAATCGGTGTTGTCTAATGCTAATGGTACCCCCTGCCCCATGATTGGGGAGGGTTCTCTTTCTCTCCCCGACTCCTTCAATTTGGATTCTATGTTGATTGTTCCGTCCTTGCACCATAAACTATTGTCTGTTGCCCAAATTACTATGGTATATTCTAGTTCGTTAAACAAAAAGAAATCACATATGTTATGTACAAAAAACTTACAGTGTCAAGAAAATAATGGTCCGTCAAATTCTTTTCAAAATTTGACCACACTATTCGTGTTTGACTAAATCAGAATTTTGCAGCTACTCGCACTATTCGTGTTTGACAATTCATCCAAATATGAAACTTTCCATTTGTACCATGACATTCTACAGTGTTGCGCCCTCAACACCCTTTCTAATTACATGCACGTGTTTTGCAAAGAAATTTATTTCACCATGCCAACTTATACTTATCAAGATAACCAACAAAAAACATCTTTACTTTTGACAACCAACAAAAAACATCTTTACTTTTGGCAATGCAATTAGGGTCTTTTCTCTAATTTCTAATTATCAATTCACTTATTTTCTCATTTTCTGATGTTGGATTCATAATTAGATCTAATTAGGATATACTAGTGATTTGCTCTCTGAATTTGTACCTAACTTTCGATTACCCCCTATCTTTTTTTTTTAAGAAAAGTAAGGATATGAACTTTTTTTTTCCACCAATCCCTCCCCCCAGTCTAAATCCTCAACATTTCATCCAATCTGCCGTTAAATATGAGGGTAAAATGGTCATTTCGTACGTTAAAAAATGTAAATAATGAAAAATAAAATGAAATAATACTCCTTTCTCTCTCTCTCTCCTCTCTCTCCTCTCTCTCCTCTCTCTCCTCTCTCCTCTCTCTCCTCTCTCTCTCTCTCTCTCTCTCTCTCTCTATGAGAATTACGGGCATACTTCACTAAGCTTAGAGTTTTATCGCTGCCTAACAATGAACTTAAGTTGATTTTGGGGTGGATCTCGCATGGGTATGGGGCTGGGGTATGGGTCTCAGTTGGGAGAAAGAACATATATATATATATATATATATATAGAGAGAGAGAGAGAGAGAGAGAGAGAGAGAGAGAGAGAGAGAGAGAGAGAGAGAGAGAGAGAGATTTGAGGGTGGAAGAGATGGAAGGGGAATGAGGGGAAGGGGAAGAAAAGGAGGAAAGGGAGGGGAGGGAGGAGACGGAAGGGGAAGGAGAAGATAGATCGGAGGGGGAGGGTGTGGGAGATGAAAGGGGAAGGAGGGGAAAGGGAAGAGGAGGAGGAAAGGGAAGGAGGATTGGGTTCTTCAAGTTGGGGGGACGGGGGGTTTGGCTCTAGGTTTACTCTTTTTCTTAAATTTTTTACAAAGAAATAATTTTTTTAAAATAATTTAACCGAAAATTGGATGAACTGTTGAGGATTTAGACGATATGGGGGAAATTGGCAAAAAAGAGAGTTCATATCCTTAATTTTCTATAAATAAAAAAAAGAGGATAGGGGGCAAATCGAAAGTTAGGTACAAGTTTAGAGAGTAAATCACTAGTATACCCATCTAATTATAACAAGGAAAGGAAATAAATATCAATGTGTTGTAAATGCATGAGGCGGTGGATGACCACCATACCTCTTAGTATTCCACCTATGCACTAAGTATTTGTAATTAGTGCTTGTAACCTATAGGTATATTGTAAATGATGGGATTCAATCTCCTATCTTGTAAGCCTATAAATAGATAGTTCTACCAAAGATTAAGTGAAGAATAAACATGGTGAAACTTTATCTTTAGCATATCACTTTTCCTACATTTTCTCCCTTTAGTTTTATAACATGTTATCAGCACGACATTGCTCTTGGTATGTTTTCTTCGTTTGAATTTTCTTTATTCTTATATGAGCTAGAGTCATCACATGGTATAGAGTTTCTTTATACTCACCATCAGACTTCATCATGCTCGTTTAAGGAAAAAATTCTTATTCTTATTACACATGAATATAATGCCATGTTTTTATTTATTTGTTTGTTTATTTAATATTAAGTATGATCTTAATTATTATGATGAGTTTGTATTATACAAATGATCAGGGCCCGAATTTCCTCGATCCTCATCATATAGCGAGATTAGGACGTAGAGTTCTTTTGATTGAATCAGAATATAAAGTTCTTTTATTCTAAATAATTGAGGGCATGACGTTTCGCGAATTTAAAGAGCACATAAGGACATGAAACTCCTCTATTTTGTATTAATCAAAATCAGAATTCCATGAGGCCTACATATGTCAAGAACTTGAACCAGAAGTTTCGAGTGCATATACATCGATTTGAGTATGAAGTTCAAAGCACAACTATTAATTCAATTTATTTAGATCTACGTATTCGAACCTGAAGTTCGACTTCTGTTATGGCTGGATGGAATCCAAGCAAAGTGAGACACTATATGGAGTTTCATAGGGGAAAGTGAGACACTTAGGGCATGTTTATGTATCAGTAATGGAGAAACTAAGGAATCAAAGAATTTAGGAATCGGAGAACTACTGAATCGGTATGGGAAGAATCATTCCCATTAAGCTGTTTACTAAACATATGGAATTAGCAATGGAATGGGATTGATTCCCATTGTTATTGTTTACTAATTTGCATGAATCAGAATCCAAATTAATTTTAGAATTATGATAAAGCGATAAGGGTATTTTTGGAAGTTATTAAGAGAAAACAGGAATGGGAATCGTATCAATTACTCCCTCCTAGTTGATCTAATTCCTAGTTTTGAGGGAATGTGATTACGGATTTTGAGATAAGGCCCACTTATTTTTTCATTCCTGATTGCAAGTAAACGCAGGAGAAGTCAGGAATGGAAATCATTTCCTTTCCTTCCATAACCATTACTGATACGTAAACATGCCCTTAAAGTTTCAGGGGGGAAACTGGGACTGAAATTGAGTTACATGGGGTATTTCAATAATTTAGCCTTTTTTCAATTAAAATTGTCTTTATTAATAAAACGAGTGGCTATAGTTTTTTACATATGTATGCATATATATATATATGAAGGTATGTATTTTTCAACAATACATTCGTTTTCTATACACGTCTTGCGTTTTCTTTAAAAAGCAAACATACAATAGTCGTATTATACATGTACGTATGTATTTCTAATGTTTCATACACTTATTTTTTACAAAATTTCCAGTAAGACACAAAAAATTCACGTATTATACAAATAATTATCATCATATAGAGGAAAATTAATATCTACTTTGGATATGTTGTAGATTAAGATCTATAAGGTACAAACAAATGCAACTAGGAGGGTCCTTTTTTATTATTATTTTATGTATTAAATAGTATAGCCAGGCGGCAATACTTATTTGTTTGACACGTGGCTTTAATCAATATAGGTTCTTCTTAATTAAAAAGAAAAAGAAAAAGGAAAAAAGGAATACAGTCGGGCCGCTATACTGCTTGTTTTTAATTTTTTTTTAAAAGACATGTGTTGACACGTGGCACCTAATGGGTGGGGGTCCTCTTTTTTATATTAAAAATAGTATAGCCGTCCGGCTGTACTCAATTTTTAAAAAATTTAAAACAATATTACCGCACGGCCACACTATTTTCACACAGTTTTCTTTAGACAGTCGTATAGCCGTGCGGCTATACTCAATTTTTTTCCTAATTTTTTTTAATACAAATAGTATAGCTGGGCAGCATAACTCGCTTCTTTTTTTTTAAATGTTGTCTTTATTAATAAATAGTATAGACGAGTGGCTATAGTCTTTTTCATATGTATGCATACACATATATATATATATATATATGTAGGTACGTATTTTTCAACAATACATTCGTGTTCTATACACGTCTTAGATTTTCTTTAAAAACCAAACATACAATAGTCGTATTGTATATGTACGTACGTATTTCTAATATTTCATACATGTATTTTTTACAAAATTTCAAGTAAGACACAAAAAATTCATGTATTATACAAATAATTCTCTCATATTGTTGAATAAGAATAACATAGTGGAAGATTAATATCTACTTTGGATATGTTGCGAATCAAGATCTATAAGGTACAAACTAATGCAACTAGGAGGGTCCTTTTTTATTAATTATTTTTTGTATTAAATAGTATAGCCGTCCGGCAATACCCTATGTTTTTTAATTTTTTTAAAAAGACTTGTGTTGACACGTGGCGGTTAATGAATGAGGGATCCTCTTTTTTATATTAAAAAATAGTATGGCCGGACTGCTATACGTATTTTTGACATGTGGCTTAATCGATAGAGGTTCTCCTTTATTAAAAAAGAAATACGAGTATAGCCCCGCGGCTATACTCCATGTTTTTAATTTTGTTGTAAAAAAGACATGTGTTGACACATGACGCCTAATGGGTGGGGGTCTACTTTTTTATATTTAAAAATAGTATAGCCGTTTGGCTATACTCAGTTTTAAAAAAAAATTAAAATGTATAGCCGCACGGATATCCTATTTTCACACAGTGGGGCTGCTCTGTTTTTCCTTTAGAAATTCTTATAACCATGCAGCTATACTAGATTTTTTTTCTAATTTTTTTTTATAAAAATAGTATAGTCGGGCTGCGTTACTGGCTTTTTATTTATTTTTACATTGTCTTTATTACTAAATAGTATAGACGAGCAGCTATAGTATTTTACATATGCATGCATATATATATATATATGTGTAGTTACGTATTTTTCAACAATACATTCGTGTTCTATACACATCTCGCGTTTTCTTTAAAAAGCAAACATACAATAGTCATATTATACATGTACGTACGTATTTCTAATGTTTCATACATGTATTTTTTGCAAAATTTCCAGTAAGACACAAAAAATTCAAGTATTATACAAATAAT